TGCTTATGATTAATAAGCAGCCAAACGAGTAAAAGACCTGAGCTACTCCGAAAGATTGCTTAAGTAAGGGCTTCCAACGCTAGAATACAGACGTATCAGAGCGGATGTGATCGAACTTTTTTGAACACCTGCAAACCACTCAGGTTTATAACTGCTTTTACAGGTGGTCACATGATGTTGTTTCAGCCAATCAGAGTCAGCTCAAAATCAATTAAAATAATAATATCATTTGGTGCCATGCTGTAACGAATCCAAACATTATATTTAGTCTGGCTTTTGTGACTGGAACGAACCTGACAACGGATGAGGTCATTGGAGTGCTGATGTATAAAAACAAAGTAACAAACAAACACACAATATCTGAATCCCTTTGATATTGCAAGAAATCTGTCTGGGAATCTGACTACTGAGATAGGCAGTAGAATGAACGTTTTGGTGACCATCTTGAAAAGGAATAAACCAACGAATCTTTTCCAAACATCTTCTCTCTGTTGATTAAATAATCATTCCATCCAAATTGCAACAAATGTTTTCCTCTTTTCTGTCAGTTTTCAGTCATAATGTTAAGATCAAAATATTTTTGGTATACAAAAGTTATAATATACTTTTATTCTAAGATGAACACATTTTTTGTTTCGAAAATATAATTGCTTGAGATGGCTTCTGGCTGTTGATTTGTCTGTAAATATCTGATTACTCACCATAGCAAGGGATTTTTACATGTATGCTGTAGCATATGATCCCTCACAAAAAGAAAATAGAAATAGAAAAATGTTGGAGATATACGTTTTATTTTTTAACCCTCCAGTATTTAGGTACTAGGTAATCTGGTGCTATTTTGTGATCTCAATGTATCGTTATTATTGTCATAGAAAACTTATATATCAAGATCATAATGAATTTCTAAAATTTGTATCAATTTACGGTAATACATCTATCACTTATAAATCCCCAAAATAATTTTGGATTACAACAGAAATCCCCTCCCTATGACGTCGTCTTCCTCCACGGAAAATTCTGAAGAACCGCAGTAGTATCCCTTCCCGGAAACTTCTACCACTACTGCCTTGTATCCACCATATGTCACTTCCTTAATAGCCTTAGCCGTGAATTTGGCTTTGGATGGCCCCATAAACTGTTTGGCTTGTCCAAGTTTGATATATTCTTTATGATACTGCCTAGCGATTCTGGCCGTCCCTCCGGAACCACACGGTGACCTGTCAATCTGTTTGGAGAAATGAAAAGCGTCGTCATGAAGGTGGCCTCCGAAAGAGAGCGAAATATTGGCATAACTAATAATATAACTAATAATAGGACATGAGTTAGACTGCTCCCTCTTGTCAAAAATATCCTTTGCATTCATTTCGGAATCAGCACAATCCGGAAAGGAGGTAAACTAGTACAGCTTGTCGACATCTTTTATCGAAGATTTCAAAAATACTAGATTTGACCCATTAGTTCAATCTATCCTTCATTCTTGGTTAACATCATATTGAGTCGACGTACCTGTCTTTCCGCGAAAACACACACATTAGACGACGGTGTATCACTGCATCCGTCTTGTCCGTCTTGTCCGTCCGTAACAATGGTTCCGAACAGAAAGGCGAGGTCATCACTCTCTGGGTGACTCAGTTTAAGCTGCTTTCTCAGGGCGTCTTATTTTGGAACAGAAAATAATATAAACATAATTTTAAGATAATCATTTTTATATATAATGACGTCTTAAAATCTCGATTCATTTAGTTTAAACACAATGTCAATACCAAGACAATTAGGCGCGTTCATGCACAAAGATTCCAATGACAATACGTTAGCTACCGGGAGACACTGAAGGCTCATCACATGTAAAGCCTAAATCGGTAAACGGAGACAAGGCACTGTCAAGGTTCATTCGCGTTAAAGACGTAATACTACCCAAACGGAGACGAGGCACTACGGCGGTTCGTCCACGCCTAACAAACTATCTAAGAGGAAACAAGGCGATAGGGCAAGGCCTATCGATGTAACATTCACGTCTTTTATTTTGACGTTCTATACACAAATGTGAGTATAAGGGGATGTATGATGACAGAGACTATCGCCAATACAAATTTAAAATGATTAGTATCAAATTAATCGTAAAGATGTTGTTTTTTCTTAATACAACATAGCTTCAGCAACCCACGATATTTTTTTCTATACACTTTCCGGGAACACAAAAATTGCGGATGAGGTTACTGACGTTAGGTCCGTGTCAATAGTATGTATATGTAGGTTTCTGGAATTAATTTGCGAATTCAACAGCAAAATGAATTTGCTTTCTTGACAGCTCATCTTTATCTCGCTGATTTGAAGTGGACTGGCCATGACCTCACCGTACCGAACATTGCGTGTAAATGAGAAATATTCCACCCCAAAATACCACATCTCGCCTTCATGAACTGTGGCTTCCCCGGGTCACCTCTCTTCTTTATATGGTATGGCTACCTAAGGCCGCCTCTTTTTCTTATGTACCGTGGCTACCTTAGGAAACCTCCCTCTTTTATGTACATTGTGTATTATGGCTACCACTGGTCACATTTCTCCTTTATGTACTTTGGCTTCCTCAAGCCATACACAGTAAAGTGACTACATCATATTACCTTTCCCCCAATTGTACTTGCTGCCCCATTCATGATCGTTAAAGGCGACTAAATTTGTGGTCTTATCTTTTCTCTTCTTTCTAATGAACTTTCTTCTTCCTAAAGTCTCCCTTGACAATGCCTCACTTTTGGAGTTTAGTTGAGCGTTCGCCCCTGTGAGGAATGCTTTGGGTTCTGTCCCCTGGCCGAGACAAATCAGAGTCTCTAAAAATGGTAGTTTCTACTTATGCTTAGCGCTCAGCATTTTGGGAGTGGGACGACTGGTTCACCCATTGTCAGTATAATGATACCGGGTGAGGTGTCCTGCTGGGTGTCTTCGGCAGTATGCTTCAGTGAGGTAGCACCATAAAGTCAACATCAGTTTCGCGCTATCTAAAGGATACAAACATGAACATACCCTAGCCTCCCAAAACACATGCATACACTACACGCATGCATCTCGTACACAGGGGAGGCCGTCCTTAAACGACCATAATTGTTGATAGGAATTTAAATAATACAAACCAAACCAAACCGCTCTCTATACATGTATATAGGGAGAGGTGACCCGAGGTAACCAAAGTACATAAAAAGGAGCCGAGGTAACCAAAGTACATACAGGGGTGGGGTGACCCAAGGTAAACAAAGTACACAGACGGGTAGGTGACCCGATGAAGCCACTATACAGAGTAAAAATATCTTCGCGAACCGCTTTCACTATCAGTCTACCTCAGGTCTTCCTTCTACTGGTCAATGTTCGGTTATATCTTATTATTGATTTGCCAGGCGTCTGTACTAATTTAGCAGCCATAATACAAAAAAAAATTGACTATCTTTTCTTGTCGTTGGTACACTTTGCCGCCTATTACTACGACCCCTCTATTTACACGAGCAAATGTTATCCAGTTCTGTCGAATCTATCTAGTTAACACATTTAAGTAAGATAAACTATTTTATCTTTGATTACTGAATCCTATCTGTAATATTCACAAGATGATTTATGTTAACGTGTAACAAACGCACCTGTAGTAGCCCCCGCAGCGTTCCTGACGTCTTGTATAGAAGCCTCCTCCAGCCGGAAGTTGTACTGACTGTCCGCTACAAAGGCGTAGAACGATCCTCCGTACACGATGTCTACTGTCACGTGACCGTATCCTGGGACATCTACAGTCACATCTAGAAACAAATGAAATGCGTCATCTTTTTTTCTTTTTTTTAAGGAATGATAACATATTATATGTACATGTAGTTGAAAAAGATATTGCAGTGAAGTTGTATCAGACACTTTTATAGATTTCTTCTATCTTATAAACATGAAAATGTATATTTACTACAAAAAGCATGTAACATGTATCATCGGGGCCTTGTTCAGATTTGTAAAAATATAAGTTAAGAAGACTAAATTTTGGCCAGTCGACTGAAAATAAATTTAAACAAACTTATACATCCTGACCAGAAAGACGTTGTACCAGGTAGAAATATTATGGATGCCAATAGAATGTTACAGGATATAATAGACTTTAGTGACAGGGAAGAACAAGATGGTTCCATTATATTTCAAGACCAACAAAAGGCTTTTGATAGGATAGAATGGGGTTGGGTATTAAGATGTTTTAAAGACTTTAATTTTGGTAATAAATTTTGTACTTGGATTGAGATGCTTTTAAAAAATTCAAAAACATGTATCCAAACTAATGGTTTCACATCTAAATATTTCAACATCTCAATATCAGCTCATCAGGGATGCCCGATCGCCCCACTTTTATACATTATTCAAGCAAAACCACTTGCATGTGCTATCAGAGCAAACCCAGAAATAGTAGGCATCAGAGTACCAGGTAATGATAAGGAAATAAAATTAAAACGCTGTCAATGTGTTACATACATGACGTAAAAAATGTAGAAAATCGGTTTAAGGAAAAAGGAACAAGGAAGACATGAGGTCATTATTTGCTTTCTAACGCTAAGTTACCCTCCAAAAAGTAACTTTCTCCCTTTTAGCAGAGAGGTATATATTTATATACGTCTCTGCTTTTAATAATTTTTACCATTGAGCTTTCCTCAGTCGACATATTTTTGTGCCCAGCCAACTAAACTGCTGTTATTTACATTTTAGACAGCTGTATAATATTTACATCATGTAACTACTACAATAAGTATACATACATTAATACATAAACATATCAGTCCATAAATCTATAAATAGGTACGGCATACATTTTACGTGTAAATATTCTTATAGTTATTATGGTAATAAATGTGACAAGGGAGTTGAACATGTTATGGAACATATTTTCACTCTAAAACAATGGTGACACGTTAGTTTACTTCTTCTCTGATCTATGCACGGGGTTTTCGCATTCCGACAGAAAATCATATTCATCTCTTAATTAATTTCTTGTGCATGTTTTATACTCTCGACCTTGCGTTTATTATTCCATCAATCAAATCCTACAGGAATTTTTATATTGCATACCCTACACTTACAAAAGTTAACAGCTAATTTAGGATGTTCCTCTCATTAAGAAGCTTTTATAATAATAGTTCATGTTAAGATATTCTGTAATTTGATCATTGAAAGAATCCAATACGTTTTGTATTTACAAATATTTTTTAACTGTAGCTTTCAAAACTCTAACTTTTCAAAACTGTTTCCCAATTCACATTCATTAAGAAATCCTGAGTGTGTTATAATTGTATAAATTTGTCATTTAAATTACTTTGTGTATTATTTGATAAAAAGATAATAATTCTAACCTTTACGTCTATACTGAGTATTTACCCAGTTTGATGTTTCTTTATACCAAGTAGTTAACTTTCAGAACATGTTTACAATATTAGAAAAGTATTCTCTCTAATAACTAAAACCTAGTTACCTCAAGCTTCTCATCCATAACATATCACAGGTTGTATAGCTGTCCAACCCACACTCATCTATCGGTCTGCAGACAAAACATTCAAGGAAATGATCCTTGTCTGCAAACACTTCAAATTTCCTGTTTGCCAAAAAGACATGAATAGCTTGTAACCAAAACAATTTTCCGAAACATTCGACTTTCATGCTCTTTCCACTACAAGTATCATATCTCACATTAAACCAAACGAGAGCCTTTGTTCCTTTAGAAAGGCGAACGACGATATAGATATAAAGCTGTAAACTATTTTGTAGCATATTTTGTGGAAAACACGACAAAAGAAATAAAATATACCTAGGCTCATATCGTAAAATAATTGAACTTCTGGCAATATTTTTGAGCTCGGTGTAAGATTTTAGGCATTCCAGTGCCCCTCCTCTTACAGTCTTGATTTTGTTTTTGTTGGGTTGAATTTATTGAAAAGTTTATCAAGGCTACTAACAAAACCCTTGCCAGGCTCTCAAATTCCACTTTCATAGATATCGACGACATGCCGTCTCTAACTAACAAGAAATGTACTGAACACGTCGATCCTGTATCACCCTTCCGAAAATGAGACCTAGGACACTACAGACTTATTGACATCAGCCGATTTCATTTACTTTGTACGATAACATGGACGATTTCTACTTTCTTGTCGTGATCTTTTCTTGATATTAACATCCATGCTTATACAATCTCGTATTAGATTAGGTACTAAAGAGTTTGCTTCAAATATCATGATTGATGTGGTATATTTCTTCTGCTGACAGACAAACTTAAAACGGTGTTTCGACAGATGCAGGTCAATAAAGGTTATGGACAAGTTTTATGGTCACTTTCAAGATATGGTTGGGTCGATGATTTTGATTTTGTTAATGAGTGTGGTATTTGTGTCGTTGTTACTGTCCAGGATCTCGTTTTGAGGATGTTGTTTTACTCAGATTTGACCTATATTTAAAAGGCAATGAAGCAGAAGACACGTATCCTTCAGGAACACATGGTCTTATAATCTTCGTTCGATTACAGTAGTAACTGAGATTCTAACAGCAGAGTACGACCAAACACGGGGACTGAGAGTCTAACAGCTGAGTACGACCAACCTCGGGGACTGAGAGTCTAACAGCAGAGCACGGCCAACCTCCGTGAATGAGAGTCTAACAGCTTAGTACGACCAACCTCGGGGACTGAGAGTCTAACAGCAACTCTTCTTTAAATACACGCATTCTTGAGTACAATAAAATGAAAATAACGATATCGGAAAATCGTAAAGTTTCTGAAAGTTTTACCTGTAGCGAAGACAAAAGCCGGGACACTGTTAAATCGGACGTTTCCGGTCTTGCCGTCCTTGTACTCCACAAAGGCCTCCACCAGTCCACATGGACACTGGATAGCCACGCGCGTCTCCGGATTGGAGGGATTCCTGACAAGTCCTGAATCCACGGCGAACCGTCCAAGGGCGATGACCGCGTGTCCACACATCGTACTGTACCCCGCGTTATGAATAAACATGGTAGCAATGTCGGCGTCCTTGTGATCCGGCTCAACCAACACCGCTCCGAACATATCAAGATGGCCGCGAGGTTCGTTCATCAGCAGTTTTCTGTAAGGGTCGAGATGTTCCCGGGTGTAGCGGACTTTGTCGAGTATGGTATCACCCTGAGGGGAGGGGAAGCCAGACTCTACCACCCTCAATGGTTCCCCGGCCGTATGCATTTCCCTTGTCTTTAAGACGACATCGCTGTGTAGATGTTTCGCCATTGCCCTTGATTCCTGAATGCTGTCACTGTGATGGATAGTTAGCTAAGTAGACGCACTCAACCATCGATTCTCATTTAGCACATATGTGAAGTTTGACCTATATTCACAGTCTGTTTCTGACATTATATCACTGACGATACGTTTGAATAGTTTTAAATGTGTCGTATTTGAAAAGTCAATTATAATTTGAATGTTAGGTTATATATATAATTATATGAAAAAAAACCATGATGACAATTTAACGTTTCGAACGAGAGTACGTCCTTCTTCAGAATTTAACTTAACGTAACTTATATATGGTACCTTCATAAAAACAGAGCGACTGGACCCAGTGGAGTGACTGTCTGGTAGCAGGGGTTCGGGATACACACAGATAGACTTGTAGGTTTAATGTTCAAATTCAAAATACGCTTTAAATTCCTGTAACAGTACCAGGGTAATTAACTGTTGAAGAAACATAGAGACAGTAATGTTGTAATAGCAGTTATAGTCTGTTTCATATATATTTTATCTGGTTTTTACCTGTGTTCTCCCACATTACCTGTATCATATATACAGTACTGTCGTATACATATAGCTTTGATATAGTCTATTTTCATCATGTTTATCCATTTTTTTCATATCATATACCATTTTCATCTATACAAAACATACAAAACAGTAACATTTTTTTTTATATATTTTACATACTTAATAGTATATATATATAGATGATAAAGCTTTGATTAATTTAAAAAGAATAAAAATAAAATTGATCTTGATCTAATTTAGGGTGAAGCAACTTCATAATGGAGCATTATTTTCAGAGAATCTATTTTATCAATAAATTCGTCTTCAGTGTAATTATTAATAACTTAGTGTCACTTATAACATTATTTTGATATTTATTATAATTTTTGATTTGAAGTTTTAATCAAAGAGATTTCTTTAACTTGATAAAAGATTGTTTATTATACATGACGTCCTATATTTGCGATGGCATAAAATAAAATGCAGAAGATGTCTGAAACTTAAAATTATCAAAGATTGTTTTCTAACATTTATGCAGAGACTGTTACTTCATTATACATGAAATGTTGAACAAGTACTGTATTTAATATCAAATCCTTAACTTAATCCTTGTAACTTAAAATCCTGAATAATGGAACGTGGTGGTTTGATCAATGGACGCCTTTGATCCTGGCTTGTTTAGAAATGGACATTTATCTACACTGTATTGTCGCAACACATGCTTAAATCTTGCAAATGGATGCTGTAAAACTACCCAAAATGGATTATAATTACTTAAGTACATAAGTACTTTAAATATGTATTTAACAAGTTCTTTGAAATTTTAACGAAAACCTTATCATCACGAACGAGTACAAGTGAAATACGACTGTCGTGATGTCTATATGTCGATTCATGATGTCATTCTGGAGCCTAGCGCGTCGACCCATCCTCGATACCCAGGGGTTATGCTCATTTACGCTCTCTACGCCCCTGGAATATGTCATAGCAAAATTGAAGGCTCGGTGTGCGCCACCTTGTTGATGAGACAAGAAGACTAGTTCGATCCTTTGATGTACATCAAAAGAATCTCGCGGTCACATAACAGAAAAATTTGACAGGCTTTAAAGTTGGGCGTCTCTCCTTTGTAATCTTCAAAAGACAGGTATCGATCAGCCTAGAGATTTGTCAGTTTGTTTTACCTGAAACCAATCAAACATCTATCTTCAAGTTTGCCATGACAAATTTCAGGGGTGTAGAGAGTGTAAGTGAGCATAACCCCTGGATATCGGGGATGAGCGCGTCCTGGATGGATAAACTCCTAGCGGTAGACGTACTTGGGGTAGGCGTACTCGGGTGTAGATAAGACCTAGTCTATTTTTATCACTTTATTTGTAAGTCACAAATGATGGGACAGTAAAGCACAAGTTGTATTACATATGTCTATATTATTCTCTAGGGTCACCAAACAATCACGTGACAGGATATAGATGGAGCCATTGCTATGGGTATGATTCCATGCGATACGGATGGCTGCATTTCGGTGCCATAAAATAATATACAACATTTGATATAACGCCTATCTAGCTAGAATAAGCCACTCTAAAGCGCTTTGTAGGATCGGAACACTGTTTCACCCTGTTCAGTCAATTCCTACATCTCGGTAGATCATGTAATGGTTGTAAAGAAATCGACAGTATTTCTAGTGTCTATATTAGTTCATTAGTCCAAAATAGTCATCAACAAACCACACCTTGTTTGGGCAGATTACCTCTGTGTTGAGTAGATGACCGATGCACTCATCCAGTCTATAATTCATAATCCATTTGAAGTCTCCACACAGGCAAATGGTTTAGTCCGCCTTGGAAAATACAACCAGAGGTGTCGCCCAGTCGCTTTATTCCATACCTAATATAATATATGCCTCTTCCAACCTCGTCGGCTCTTTCCTCTCTTCTTACTTAGTAGGAAGTATTCCGTTTGTGTTAAAACGAATTTTTTTAAAGTCACGCGTTTGATCTGCTACTGTTTGTAATTGCTTCGTCTATCAAGGAATTGATACGGATTTATATTACAGAAAAGTATCTGTGCAAGACTAGCATCCTTAAAAAGTTGTGATTTAATATCAGCCAGACACAAATAGCATAATATATCATAAGAATCGATAATCTATAGACAGGATTATTTTCTGAACACACTGACCATATTAATTGATATTATCCTTTATGTGTATACTCGCACATATTTTCTAAAGCAGTCTGAAATATGTTGACGCGCCACAAAACCAGGTCACCCGTGCGGACCATTTCTCGGATGATGAACAAAAAGTGGATGATAAAAGCATACATAAAACATTTAAACATTGTTTTCGGGTTTTGTATAAATAAAATAAGGCAACCAATGTTCAATTATTTAGGCGTTTTTCGAGCCGGTTAAAGAAATGCCAAAGGTCACGTTAATGCCCCGACATAGACGCACTAACCAAAGATTTTAGCGTCAAGATGTGACCATATCAAACACATAGATAAGTATCGTCTAATAAGGCCGTGCTTGTAGGGGGTAAAACGAAGATTTTGGAGTATGTGTGTAATTTAATAAGTATAGTGTAAATGTAATTTAATAAGTACAGTATAATATAAATGTAAATACATTGTTAGATTTGACTATAAACCCTTGAAATATGGTAATGATTGTATGTTTGTATATTGTGATCGATATATGATATATAATTATTCACGTAACGACAGATTGTACTGTATAGTCCAGATATTTAGTAAGGATTGTATCATGCGTAAATGTATTGTTTAATTCAATTGTATATTTGCATAATATGCAATAATAAGTGCTACTATTATTTCATTCTTCTGTGTGTTCAAACATTACCTAAATTTTGGTGTATCAAAGGTATTCTCAAAGTAAGCTTGACTTCTTATTTAGAATACAGTGAATATTTTACAAGTTATACTGCATGTGTAGAACAAAATCAAATTAATAAATTCATACAGCATTTGCTAAAATATTACACAAATACAAGTTTTCATCTTATGTTTATATGTAAATTTACACTCCTTATCGATTTGATTTTTTTTAAAGATCCAATAAAAATCCAAACATTTATCAATTTAGACCACTGCCAATATAGTTTCTCACTGTATCCTCCATTCTAGTTTTTAACAACTCTGCTATTCCACACACAAAAATAATCATTCTGTGTTTATTTTATCTGACGAAAATATACCTATGTGTTTGTTAACATATTCATTTCAATCCTGAAATATTTGCAAAAGCTATAACATCCATTTACTGTTTCTTGGTTGGAAGTTTCGTTACCGTTATATAAAACCAACAAGTAATCATCAGTGTATTGATTACAATGGGGCAGTCAGTAATATCTGTACATTTACCTTATATTATTATATTATATCATATTCTATATTATTATAACTACGAAATAAGACAAATTTTAGATTTTGTCTTAATCTTATTTCAAATACCTATTGTCTTATATTTTCTTCTTGATTAATTGAAGAAATCCTGTTTTATATAATACTACAATCTGGGGGTTTTCCACTTTACATTTCAAGATAATTGAGTACTTTATCATTCCTCTATGTTAACCACATATATCACCATTACTAAGGGGCTATTGGACGGTAGTATACAAAATTAGGTTTCTTTATGGGAAACATCACAACAGATCGCCGACAAATATCGACAATATGGCAACAGTTTCTCAGAATGTTTGAAAAAACGATGAAAAAAATGACAGGTCGTTTCATATACCTACGTACTTAGATTCTTTAACAGTGACCAGTACAGGGATATCAAAAGCTGATTAGAGAAAGCTTTGATGGCGAGATATTATCAATTAGTATACCATTATAGCAAAAAGTGAAGTGTAGTGTGAAATACAACAGCAAATTCACAGATTTCTTTGAAATCAAAAATGGATTGTAACAAGGTGAAATATTATCGCCAATTATGTTTTCACTTCATATAAATGATTGCGAAATGCAGTTTATGATAGCTAATTCTCGGATGGTTTACAGAATACGTTAGATTATTTGCTGAAATATTCCTATGAAATTAATAACGTCTTTAAACTTTAAAACCAAAATTTCGTTTTCCTTAATGGTGGTTTAAAGAACACGAAACTTGACATATAATGGTTGTGAAATAAAGACTAGAAATTAAGGAAACACCCCTTTAAAAAATTATTTTGATGATAAAAAAGAGGCAAACAAAGGAAAGTATTTACTACATCATTTGGTGGCCATTTTGTTCAGTAACAACTCTTCACTGGTACTGTGGTCAACACAATGAAAATCAATGTCAAGAGAGTTTGGATTGGTTTGGTTTTATTTTGTTAACGTCGTTTCAACAGCCAATGTCATTTAAGGACATGCCTCCATGTGTGTTGTGTATGCATGCTTATGTGTGCAGGAGGCAGGGTATGTTGATGTTTTTGCCTCCTTGTGATAGCGCGTTTCTGATGCCGACTTTATAATGCAATCTCATTGAAATACCATGCCGATGGCACCCTGCACATCATTCCGCATTCCGCCCGGTCACATTATACTGACAAAGGGTGAACCAGGTGTTGCAATTACCGGAAATGCTGAACGCTAAGCAAGGGATAACAACTTTAATTGTGAAGGACTTTGGTATGTCCCAGCCTAGGGACAGAACCCACTGCCTTCGTCAATTGGGCGAACATTCAACATTAAAGCCAAAAGTGAGGTATTGCCAAGCAAGGCGCTAGGAAATGAAAGGTAGATAGAAGTAGAAAGAAATAGATAGATCCCAAATATTGCAATGGGTGCAAACGATTTATTTTGGTCGCCTTTGTGTTCCCAGGTAGTGGGCAAGAAAGCAAATCCCCTTTTCTGCAGGGGGTTCACGCATTAGTCGCCTCTTACGATACATGCGGTGGGTAACAGCAGGTGCATTCTTTTCTCTAACCCCGACCTGTCGGTCAACAGAGTCCCAAGCATTTGTGCAAATACAACAAATGGAAAGGTGTCTATAAAACCCTTTATTACCCTTCAGATTTACAACGTTTGACTACAGAATACCGTTTATTCTAAAAATAAAGTATTACAATTCAACCGTGTCAGAATAGTTCACACTACATGGCATGGTTACGACCAACCTCGAGGACTGAGAGTCTAACAGCAGAGTACGACTAACTTCTGGGACTGAGAGTCTAACAGCAGAGTACGACCGACCTCGGGGACTGAGAGTCTAAAAGCAGAGTAAGACAAACCTCGAGGACTCAGAGTCTAACAGCAGAGTACGACCAACTTCCGGGACTGAGAGTCTAACAGCAGAGTACGACCAACCTCCGGGACTGAGAGTATAACAGCAGAGTACGACCAACCGCCGGGACTGAGAGTCTAACAGCAGAGTACGACCAACCTCGGGGACTGAGAGTCTAACAGCAGAGCACGACTAACCTCCGAGGCTGAGAGTCTAACAGCAGAGTACGACCAATCTCGGGGACTGAGAGTCTAACAGCAGAGTACGACCAACCTCGGGGACTGAGAGTCTAACAGCAGAGTGCGACCAATCTCGGGGACTGAGAGTCTCACAGCAGAGTATGACCAACCTCGGGGACTGAGAGTCTCACAGCAGAGTACGACCAAACACGGGGACTGAGATTCTAACAGCAGAGTACGACCAAACACGGGGACTGAGAGTCTAACAGCTGAGTACGACCAACCTCGGGGACTGAGAGTCTAACAGCAGAGCACGGCCAACCTCCGGGAATGAGAGTCTAACAGCTTAGTACGACCAACCTCGGGGACTGAGAGTCTAACAGCAGAGTACGACCGACCTCGGGGACTGAGAGTCTAACAGCAGAGAACGACAAACCTCGAGGACTGAGAGTCTAATAGCAGAGTACGACCAACCTCCGGGAATGAGAGTCTAACAGCAGAGTACGACCAACCTCGGGGACTGAGAGTCTAACAGCAGAGAACGACAAACCTCGAGGACTGAGAGTCTGATAGCAGAGTACGACTAACCTCCGGGAATTAGAGTCTAACAGCAGAGTACGACTAACCTCGGGGACTAAGAGTCTAACAGCAGAGTACGACCAACCTCGGGGACTGAGAGTCTAACCGCAGAGTATGACCAACCTCGGGGGCTGAGAGTCTCACAGCAGAGGACGACCAAACACGGGGACTGAGAGTCTAACAGAGTCTAACAGCAGAGGACGCCCAACCTCCGGGAATGAGAGTCTAACAGCTTAGTACGAATAACCTCCGGGACTGAGAGTCTAAGGGGAGACTACGACTAACCTCCGAGGCTGAGAGTCTAACAGCAGAGTAGGACCAACCGCGGGGACTGAGAGTCTCACAGCAGAGTACGGCCAACCTCGGGGACTGAGAGCCTAACAGCAGAGTATGACCAACCGCGGGGACTGAGAGTCTCACAGCAGAGTATGACCAACCGCGGGGACTGAGAGTCTAACAGAGTCTAACAGCAGAGAAAGACAAAACTCGAGGACTCAGAGTCTAACAGCAGAGAACGACAAAACTCGAGGACTCAGAGTCAAACAGCAGAGTACGACCGACCTCGGGGACTGAGAGTCTCACAGCAGAGGACGACCAACCTCGGGGAATGAGAGTCTAACAGCAGAGCACGGCCAACCTCCGGGAATGAGAGTCTAACAGCTTAGTACGAATAACCTCCGGGACTGAGAGTCTAACAGCAGAGTACGACTAACCTCCGAGACTGAGAGTGTAACAGCAGAGTGCGCCCAATCTCGGGGACTGAGAGTCTAACAGCAGAGTATGACCAACCTCGGGGACTGAGAGTCTCACAGCAGAGGACGACCAAACACGGGGACTGAGAGTCTAACAGCTGAGTACGACCAACCTCGGGGACTGAGAGTCTAACAGCAGAGTACGACTACCTGTTTTAAAACCTTATCACTAGCGATAGGTCGTTAATGCAAACAGCCAAACAGAGTAAATATTAACTACACCATATGGTGTGCATTAGAATAGTAGATGAATTAGTATTTTTGGCCTGTTGTTGAATTGCAGTGGAAAAAATTGAAGCATGCAATAAGGAAAAGAAGGTAACAGAGATAAAACGTGTATCAGCATAAACGTCTCTTCCACAAACAAGTGGGGCTACCCACAACAAATCATAACAAGGACACAGTTAATCTAGTAAAATAAGTATCGTATTCGGGAAAAGAAAAATGCTTCAGAGAATGCATAGATGTATTGTCTACACAGGTGTTGTGTTATGAGTAGGGTAGATGTTGTTAGAATGTGGTTTGTGTATTAGTATTGTTGTGTATGTGTATACAAGTGCATACTTTATTCATACCCATGAGCTGTAAGGTGTTAAAGAACAGTTTATAACAGAAACTCATTTAGAGATAAAAAAAATGAAATCAACCTGGAAAAAAGTAGGTAAATGAACTAGCGTGAAATAAAGGGTTAAATGAAAATGGCTTTTAATGGTAGGCGTTTGTTTTCCTAAGTTAACTCTTAACAGTTGGGAAATGCACCTGTCAAACTGGCATTCAACAAAATAAAGTCCTTTTGTCCGACAGTCGCGTCCTTGTGAAGGTCATAAAGTGGAGGCGATAAGCTGTAAGTCAATGTGAAGGTGGAAGTGTACCTATCTTATCTAGCGAACATATCAAACACGACACACTTACAACAAACTAGGTAGCATACACAGACACATGGCAATGGCGAATAAAATACCAAGCAATGTCGTCATAAAGACAAGGGAGATGCATACGGCCGGGGAACCATTGAGGGTGGTAGAATCTGGCTTCCCCTCCCCTCGGGGTGATACCATACTCGACAAAATCCGCTACACCCGGGAACATCTCGACCCTTACAGAAAGTTGCTGATGAACGAGCCTCGCGGCCATCTTGATATGTTCGGTGCGGTGTTGGTTGAGCCGGACCACAAGGACGCCGACATTGCTACCATGTTTATACATAACGCAGGGTACAGTACGATGTGTGGACACGCGATCATCGCCCTTGGACGGTACTCCGTGGATACAGGACTTGTCAGGAATCCCTCCAGTCCGGAGACGCGCGTGGCGATCCAGTGTCCATGTGGACTGGTGGAGGCGTTTGTGGAGTACAAAGACGGCAAGACCGGAAACGTCCGATTTAACAGTGTCCCGGCTTTTGTCTTCGCTACAGGTAATTAATTCAGAGAAAAGCATAATAAAAGACAGTTGTTCTGAAGAACTGAAAATGGTGTTTATTTCATATATAATGTCTATTTCAATTTACATTTTATAATCAATGTAGATGAGATATACATGTTCTTCCAGCACTTAATGGTTCATTGCAGTCATGTATAAACCGTTTTATAAAAGTTATCATAGCGTTTGTACTACTCTGAAGATACTCTTGATTTCTGCGTGTCCTGGAGTTTAGATGTGTCTGTGGATGTCCCTGGATATGGTCACGTGACAGTAGACATCGTGTTTGGAGGAGCATTCTTCGCCTTTGTGGCTGACAGCCAGTACAACTTCCGGCTTGAAGAGGTTGCTTCAGACGTCATCAGGTCTGCGGCAGCGGCCACAACAGGTAAGTCAATATGCCTGTGGCAGCGGCCACCACAGGTAAATCAATATGCCTGTGGCTGCGACTACCACAGGTAAATCAATGTCTGTGGCAGCGGCCACCACAGGTAAATCAATATGCCTGTGGCAGCGGCCACAACAGGTAAATCAATATGTCTGTGGCAGCGGCCACCACAGGTAAATCAATGTCTGTGGCAGCGGCCCACCACAGGTAAATCAATATGCCTGTGGCAGCGGCCACAACAGGTAAATCAATATGCCTGTGGCAGCGGCCACAACAGGTTAATCATTTTGTCTGTGGCAGCAGTCACACAAGGTTACTTATAAGGAATGCGGCAGCAGCCACAGCATTTCAATCATTGGGTCCTAACATGGACACGTACCAGGAATGATTTTTGAGACAGCCCAGAACAAGAGTATACAGTGAAAAAGACAGCCATGTAGTAGGGTTCACAACTTAACAAAAACTTCTTTATTTCTATGAATTCAGAGTTTGGCTTTTGTAGTGTGCTATTTTACATCAAACAAACCAATAAAATACAGACATTTGTAAAGGGCCGGTTTGCCGTTGTGGTCACAAATCTATAAAGTATAAAGATTTAGGTCACTTGGTTTGTTTTTTATGGCTCCTCAAAGTTATACCTTTCAGAAGCTGTCTAAGTGTTGATAAAATGTGCATGTTATGTAAAATATTAATGAAAATCTAATCAAATGATGGTCACCGTAAAGAATACATTCATGGCATGATTGTGACAAAAAATCATGTTTCCATCGCGCCATTTGGCTGTTTTATGGAAGAAACAATCTCAAAAATGCCATTTTCGATGATAACATTTTAGACACAAAAACTGTGTTTTTTAGAGAATACACCCTTTTATGGGCGTTGGATGCAAACCAATTTTTATCCTATTAAACAGTACGTAATATGCTATTGATGAGAGGAAAAATCATCAAAATGTAAGTGGTGGAACATTTTCAAATGTTGGGTTGAATTAGCCTATGGTTGAATTGCCGATTTTCGACTTTCTTTAGATAATTAACAAAAAAACGAGAGTATTTGCTCGGTATGTTGAGAATATGTACACAGATATGAAAAAAAGTGAGAGAAACACTTTTTCATAAAAAAAATCCAAGATGGCTACTTCACAAGTCCCCGTGGTTGAAGACATTGGCTGACAAATAGACAGAACAACAAACAAAACGTGTTCCTTATGATTTTGGTTGGTTTTCGCATTTACGGGAGTGTTCATAGCTACGGGCGATTGTATAATACCTATATTTATAAGTTTGGTTAGTCACATGGTAACGGGGATCTTTCATATCGAGCCCCAAACATACTTTCGACATATGCACTCCGTTGCCGCATGGAAAACTATTTCAAGTTTTGTCGGAATTTCTTTACCTGTGGTTGTAATGGTCGAGGGTTTTCCAGCGTCCTGTAATACCCAAGGTAGTACAAGATACTGGAGATGTGCGCACACATTCCCATCGTTCTCTCTCCAACTGGGCACTGGCAGTAGTAGTCCTTTATTGGGGCCTCAACATCGGGTGAAACGGTGAACCGTATCCAAACGTTATATTTCGTTTGGCTTTTGTGTCGAGAATGTATTTGACATCGGAGAAGGTCTGGGGAGTGCTGGTAAAGCCACACCTCATAGTCTCCGTCATCACTTAAATGTTCGGCGATGTAACCAGGAGCCAGAGATATCTGATACGTTCCACACGTAATGGTTCTCAAGTAATCAAGATCGAGACGGGGAAACAGTACGGAAGATGCATCCATCTTGACAAACTCGGACCTTGCCCGTCTAGATAGATCCGGATCTGTCTTGACTCTCTGAGCTAAACCATTCGGTGTTGTCAAACGGTCCTTCATACGTTCAGCCATTAGCCTATCTTTGGCATCTCTCTCTGGAGATCTCTGGTAGATCGGTCCTCTAATACCATTCAGACAGGCTGTGACGGTTCGAAGCAAAGCCTCGATGACATTGATAAAGCTGTTAGACACCAATTGCGTTCGGAAGAACGTCCAGTGTTTCAGACGACCATGATAGGATTCCACAATCCACCTCGATTTGGTGATAGTTCTGTCAAGATTTGCTTGGACGTCAGAATGTTGACTTTGACCGGGTTTCAGGTATGACGGCATGCTAGCATTGAGGCCAGAGGCTTCGAGAACTGGTAGGACATCTCTAAAACCTCGGTCAACGACAACGTTGTCGTCTGGTTGTAGCCAAGTAACTAGCTTGTCCATGACTTTTTTTGTAATTGTAGCATCATTTTCGCTGCCAGTGAATGGTCCTACTGTGTCCAGAATGTAGCCATCTGGTAAGGCGATGCTCATGAATTTGAGATAGTTTCTCTTCTTCTGGCCACAGTAGGACATTCTCTGGAGCTTGTGGTCGGAGCTTTTCTGGATATAAATATAGGTGCCATCTAATATGGCAGTGGCTTTATCTCCAAAAAATGCTTCTGAAAAGACAGTATTGTGCCCGAGCAACTGTTCTCTTGTCAAGTGATCCGGACCTAGAAATTGTGGGACTATCGATGTGTCTAATGCCTGTACTATGGAGTGGAAAGTTTTGGACACACTTGACTTGGAAATTCCAAAAAGAGAAGAACACTGACTCCAGGAAATGTCGGTTTTCAGTTTTACCCAGAACAGTAATAGAGCATCGTGTGTAGTCTTGGTATATATACCAGATGAAAGATATGGGGAACAGTGCGAGTGGATTTCGAGGAACTGATCTTTGGACCAACCTGTCCAGGCCATGCATGCCGAGTCATCAAGAGAAGAAAAGCTTATTGTAAACGCAGACTGGTTCTGTGAAAGGACGTGCGACACCTCTAGGAGGTCATTAATGATTTCGGACGATTTTGATGGTAACTGAGATTCCAAGGAACCTCTACCATCAAGGACAACCTCTGTAGACGGATCTAAGTCGTTACCAATAAGGTGAATGGAGCAGACGCGGGATGAGGTGGGACACCACAGTTTGTGTGAATAGATCAGGTGATGTCTTGCACGTTTTGGTAAGACTGATGATTTTGTTCCATTTCTTGCAAAGGTAACAAGACAGAGACAGCATTTTTTGTGTGAAGATGATCCATTCAAAAGATCATGAAGGGTCAGCAACGGCAGGATATGGGACGGGGAGTCGTCTTCTTCCTCTATTTCCTGGTTCTGCTCGGGTTCAGGTTCAGGCTGATTTTTGTTCCGAAGATACTTCATGTAGCACTTCTGGCAAATAAGTGCTTGTTCCTTTGCTGACATCAATCCTTGTTGCACCAGCGTATCTAGGAGCCATTTATATTGTGGACTATTTACATTGCGTGCACTTCTGTTCTTATTGCCACTACGTTTCTTGAAGTATACTTGACACCCTTCTCCAACACATTTACCCTCCATCTTGAAACAATAACGATTGGTTTATGAAGCGTCGATAAAGTAACAAAATAGCAAGCCACCGATGATTGCTGTAAACAGCTAATACTTAGTAGTTTGGTACAATTATGCGAAAATGTGTGATAAATAACGAACAACTAATTACACAAAATAACAAGACAATATAATAAATCACATTCAATACCTCCAAGAAGCGCAGAATTGATTGATTACTTAGAACAAAATAAAGTATTTCATATGGATAATCTATCTATTCGATGTGGCGTGGTCGGCAGGCACAAAGAAAGTGAGACAAGTCAGGGTCCCAACCCTGACAGAGCCACAACGCTTTGGAGATGGGACAATAAAACAAGGAAAGTGAGACAAGAATAGCTAGCGTCGAGTCAATGATTCCGTAAACGTATAGACAAAGACAAGAAGATACGGATAAATGTACAAGGCCACACGATCAGAAAATTCAGAAGAGGACAACTTGAGATAGAACAGTATTCATGTATCAGGGTGTCCTCAGTGTAAATCTTTATATCGATACTGTTTATTTAGTCGTTACACATCATAAAACTGTCATGAAAATATCCGCTCTGATATTCAATATAAAAGTTTGTATATAATAAGCTATATAATAGGGTTTCAGACAAGGTTGTTACTCATTTCCCCTTTTCTTTCAATTTACAACCACATTCAGGCGGCGATATGAGAACGTTCCACCACATGGAATTAGCTGATTTTTGGTACACATATGAAACAAGTAAAGCTCTATCCGATTTTCTGATGGAAATTTGCATCCAAAACTATATAACGGGAGAAAATTGCAATTTTATGGCATTTTTCTTCATAATTGTGTCTCTGCAAGTGCATTTTCATCCGAGAAATTTTTTTTTTTATGTTTTATGAATAAACACGATGTTTTGGAAATATTTATCAAAAGAAATTTATACTATGTTGCGAATTACAATTTCGAGATAACCTTCTTTTATTTACGAACTTATGTCTTTGATGCTGAAATTGACAACTTTATAAAAATACATTTTCACTGAAATTATGAAATCTGGGCGTCGGAAAGGTGTAAAATTATTCTTCGGAAAAGAAAAAAAACAGTAGTTGAGCTAGATAAGAAATTATACGGGGGCAGGCTCCTATGGAGAATTAACATTACTGGAAACAGGCCCTTTGATTATCCCTTGAGCTGTCCGGGGGGACTGTATCCCTAGGGCTGTAAGAGTAGACTCTAGCCCTTGAGCTGTACGGGGGGCGGTATCCCTAGGGCTGTAATAGTAGACTCTATCCCTTGGGCTGTACGGGGGGACTGTATCACTAGGGCTGTAAGAGTGGACGGTATCCTTTGAGCTGTACGGGGGGACTGTATACCTAGGGTTGTAAATATATATCTAACGAATCAGAAAGCACGAGGTTATAAATGAGTGCTTCCTTATTCGGTAAAGATCGATACAAAGATTTTATAAACTTTGATATTTTTTGCAAATACCGGGAACTTTTCAGTGCGCCGTGACAATGGGATTCCCATAAAAAGTAGTTCCGGCTAGTAGGTAAATACAACATTCCGTATTGCACATTTGCAAAACAGAACGTTTTATTTCATTGTCTGAAAATTGCTTGTATTACTATAACAATATTCAACAGGTATGTGATAAAAGTAGATTATATCCCTTGAGCTGTACGAGGGGACAAATCCCTAGGATTGTAAGAGTAGACTGTATTCCTTCAACTGTACTAGGGGGAAAGTCATCAATTTACGTCACTCCTTTTAGACGCCCTGAAGATTCAACTCAAGCTTAGCCATCCGGACAGTGATGATCTCGCCTTCCTGTACGGGACTATCGTGACCGACGGACAGGACGAACGGGCAGATATCACGTCATCACATATATGTGTGTTTGCAGAGAGACAGGTAACGTGACATACACTGAATAGTATATCAGATTAGTCAAAATTGACTGCCATATGGCGGGGTAATCAAAGACAGACGATACAAGCAAACTAAAGGAGAGAAAATATCTCCATGATAACAAACATGATCGCCCGGAGAAGTAAAAATATAGGTACAGTATCTCAACATAGAAAATATTTTACAGTTTGACAGGTCTCCGTGTGGGTCCGGTACTACTGCCAGGGTGGCGTTTCTGTACCACAAAGGAAACGTCAAACTCAACCAGAGTAGGACCTTCAGGAGCTATGTCAAATCCGAATTCCAGGCCAAGGCTGTAAAGGAAGTGACGTATGGTGGATACAAGGCAGTAGTGGTAGAAGTTTCCGGGAAGGGATACTACTGCGGTTCTTCAGAATTTTCCGTGGAGGAAGACGACGTCATAGGGAGGGGATTTCTGTTGTAATCCAAAATTATTTTGGGGATTTATAAGTGATAGATGTATTACCGTAAATTGATACAAATTTTAGAAATTCATTATGATCTTGATATATACGTTTTCTATGACAATAATAACGATACATTGAGATCACAAAATAGCACCAGATTACCTAGTACCTAAATACTGGAGGGTTAAAAAATAAAACGTATATCTCCAACATTTTTCTATTTCTATTTTCTTTTTGTGAGGGATCATATGCTACAGCATACATGTAAAAATCCCTTGCTATGGTGAGTAATCAGATATTTACAGACAAATCAACAGCCAGAAGCCATCTCAAGCAATTATATTTTCGAAACAAAAAATGTGTTCATCTTAGAATAAAAGTATATTATAACTTTTGTATACCAAAAATATTTTGATCTTAACATTATGACTGAAAACTGACAGAAAAGAGGAAAACATTTGTTGCAATTTGGATGGAATGAGTATTTAATCAACAGAGAGAAGATGTTTGGAAAAGATTCGTTGGTTTATTCCTTTTCAAGATGGTCACCAAAACGTTCATTCTACTGCCTATCTCAGTAGTCAGATTCCCAGACAGATTTCTTGCAATATCAAAGGGATTCAGATATTGTGTGTTTGTTTGTTACTTTGTTTTTACACATAAATTAAAGTTAGAAGACCTATTAACAGCTGATGATATTACAGATAATGTTTTGTAAGATGCAAGAGTGTGAAATGAGTTCGAAAGGCAGACTTGGAAAAAGAAGAAAGAGAAAAATGATGCGAGGCTGTAAGTTTGTTTTTAAACTGGTGATTCCAGATTCACAAGAAAACCGTTTATTTAAAGCTTTGTCGGAATTTCTAAGCCCTTGGGTACAACTGTTCTAGATTTTGAATATTGCTTTGATAGCCAAAATGATAAAGTATGCTTGATGTAGGAGCACACATTCCCATATTTCTTTGACCAACTGTGCCTTGGCAGTAGTAATCTTTTATTGGATTATTATTTTTTGGTGCCATGCTGTACCGAATCCAAACATTATATTTAGTCTGGCTTTTGTGACTGGAACGAACCTGACAACGAATGAGGTCTTGAGAGTGCTGATATACCCATATTTCATGATCTCCATCATCACTAAGATGTTCACTGATATAGCCTGGAGCTAATGATAACTGGTAGGTGCTGCACGTTAAAATATTCAAATATTCCAAATTAAGCTCTGGAAAAGTAAGTGAAGATGCATCCATCTTTACCAACTCTGACTTTGCTGTCTTGGAGAGAGCTGGTGCTGTTTTCACCCTCTGAGCCAAACAGTTCATTTGTGTAAGTCGAAACTTCACATACTGTGCGAGTTCCCTGTTTTTCGGTCATTTTCCGGTGATCTTTGATAAATTGGTTCCCATATCCCATTGAGACATGCAGTCACAATCTTTAGCACTTCCTCAAGTATATCAATGAAGCAACTAGATATTAGTTGTGTTCTAAAAGTGTCCAATACTTAAGGCGGCCATTATAAGACTCTACAATCCATCGGGATTTATAACTGTCCTGTCAATGTTAGCCTGTAGATCAGAGTGTTGGCTCTGAGCAGACTTAAGATATGAAGGACATATTGGTATTAATACCAGATGCCTCTAACATTGACAGGAGATCTTTAAAACCAATATTTTGTGATAGAGAATGAACGCGTTCCTTGACGTTGGTATGAGGAATAGCAGAGTGCAAAAGAAAATGATCTGATAGAAAGATGGTCATAATACATACACAGGTGAGTGCAACATTTTAGTAATAGATACACGGAGCCAAAACTAAATTACACTGCATCATGCCACTACCAAAAAGCGATTGATGTAACCATCACGGTTTCTGTAACCCTTGGGGCCTAACAATTCCACCAGCAGAGTCTAACACCTTACAGAAGTAATGACTCTCAAAGCACTAACACCAATCTGCTTTGAACACGACCTAAGTAACACTGATAGAGTCAGTTACCGTAGCAGAATTATCATCTGAGATGGAGGTACCCAGAAACACATTCATTACGTTTTAAAAACATAATGTTTTAACGCGTTTGAGAGGTCGGTAAAAAAATATATAGCTCTGGACCAAACTGTAGAATCAGGATGCTGGCAAGTGTTCCAATCAATGATCCGATAATATTTATACACAATAAAAAAAAACAGGAATATTATATTGAAGAAATAAAAATCTTGAAAGTTTTGTGATAAAATGCAACAATCTATTCAATTCTAAATACAAGTACAATCTTATCATTATAACTATGCGGAATCTGTCAGGCACTAAGGCATTCGCTTATGCGTTTGCTAATGGAAGTCACGTGCTGATCCATTGGTCATTTAAGACTCCATAAGTTATCGATTAATTCTTTTTTTTTTATGAAATTATTACAACATTTAAATAATATAGATCTGTTTAGCGGTATTCAAGTAAACGCAATTTTCCAATTAGACTGTTAATATTTACAATTGAAGCAGTCTTGACCCTTAAAATTTACCTCGCACTTTTGTAACATAAAGTTTGTCAGCTAAAGTGTGTGCAATTTGTCAAGATTCAACCTCGTTTACAGTTGAAAACATTACTGATCAATACTGAAATTAAGGAACCTACATGTGTTGTGGATACTACTGCAGTAGAAACCCGCGCCCTATGACATCATCTTCCTCCAAGGAAAAGGTTGAGGAACCACAGTAGTGCCCCTTACCGGACACCTCTACCACCACTGCCTTGTATCCACCATACGTCACTTCCTTTATAGCCTTAGCCTTGAACTTGGCTTTGGATGGCCCCAGAAACTGTTTGGCTTGTCCAAGTTTGATATATTTTTTATGATACTGCCTAGCGATTCTGGCCGTCACTCCGGAACCGCACGGTGACCTGTCAATCTGTATGGAGAAATAAGAAGTGTCGACATGAAGGTGGCCTCAGAAAGGGAGCGAAATATTGGCATATCTAAATATATAACAACTAAAAGGACATGAGTTAGACCGCTCCCACTTGTGGTTTTAACATGCATACGAATATTATGTAAATATAAGTAAAATACATCAGTACAATTTAGTTCATTCTATCTTTCAGTCTTGGTTTACATCATTTTGAGTCGACGTACCTGTCTTTCCGCGAAAACACACACATTAGATGACGGTGTATCACTGCATCCGTCTTGTCCGTCTTGTCCGTCCGTAACAATGGTTCCGTACAGAAAGGCGAGGTCATCACTCTCTGGGTGACTCAGTTTAAGCTGCTTTCTTAGGCCATCTTATTTTGGAACAGAAAATAATATAAATATAATTTTAAGATAATCATTTTTATATATAATGACGTCTTAAAATCTCAACAAAAATTTAGTTTAAACACAATCGAAGACAATTAGGCGCGTTCATGCACAAAGATCTACCGGGCATCCTCGATATCCAGGGGTAACGCTCACCTTCGCTCTCTACATCCCTGGAATATGTCATGGCAAAAGTGAAGGCTCGATGGGCGCCACCTTATTGATCAAACAAGAAGACTAGTTCGATCCTTTGATGTACATCAAAAGAATATCGCGGTCACGTAACGGTAAAAACTGACAGGCTTTTAAGTCGGGCGTCTCTTCTTTGTAATCTTCAAAGCACAGGTATCAGCCTAGCGATTGGTCAGGTTTTTTTCTTTTACCTGAGACCAATCAAACAGCTACCTTCCAGGGGTGTAGAGAGCGAAAGTAAGCGTAGCCCCTGGATATCGAGGATGGCTACCGAGAGACACTGAAGGCTTATCACATGGACAGCCTCAATCGGTAAGCGAAGACAAGCCATTGTCAAGGTTTATTCACGTTAAAGACACTACCCAAACGGAGACAAGGCACTACGGCGGTTCGTTCACGTTAAAGGCGTAATACTACCCAAACGGACACCAGGCACTGTCAAGGTTCATTCACGTTAAAGACGCAATACTACCCAAACGGAGACAAGGCACTACGGCGGTTCGTCCACGCCTAACAAACTATCTAAGAGGAAACAAGGCACTAGGACAAGACCTATCGATGTAACATTCACGTCTTTTATTTACACGTTCTATACACAAATGTGTGTATAAGGGGATGTATGATGACAGAGACTATCGCCAATACAAATGTTAAAATGATTAGTATCAAATTAATCGTAAAGAAGTTATTTCTTAATACAACATAGCTTCAGCAACCCACGATAATTTTTTCTATACATTTTACGCTCCGGGAACACAAAAGATGCGGATATGGTCACTGATGTTAGGTCCGTGTCAATAATAAGTATACGTAGGTTTCTTGAATTGATTTGCGAATCCAACAACAAAATGAATTTGTTTTCTTGACAGTTCATCTTTACTCTGATTTGAAGTGGACTGGCCATGACCTCACCGTACCGAACATTGTGTGTAAATGAGAAATATTCCACCCCAAAATACCACATCTCGCCTTCATGAACTGTGGCTTCCTCATGTCACCTATCTCCTTAATATAGTATGGCTACCTAAGGCCGCCTCTCTTTTTTATGTACCGTGGCTACCTTAGGCAACCTCTCTTGTTTATGTACATTTTGTATTATGGCTACCTCTGGACACATTTCTCCTTTATGTACTTTGAACCCCTCAAGCCACCCCTCTCCTACACAGTAAAGTGTCTACATCATATCACCTCTCCCCCTATGCACTATGGTAACCTCAGTTTATCCCTGCTATCTTTATTGTCCTTGCATGTAGGGCGTAAGAATTGTACCTGCTGCCCCATTGCATCATCGTAAAAGGCGACTAAATTTGGGATCTTATCTTTTCTCTTCTTTCTAAACAACTTTCTTCTTCCTAGAGTCTCCCTTGACAATGCCTCACTTTTGGACTTTAGTTGAGTGTTCGCCCCTGTGAGGAAGGCTTTGGGTTCTGTCACCTGGCCGAGACACACCAGAGTCTCTAAAAATGGTAGTTTCTACCTCTGCTTAACGCTCATTAATTTAGGAGTAGGACGACTGGTTCGCCCGTTGTCAGTATAATGTGACCGGGTGCGATGTCCTACTGGATGTCTTACTGGATGTCTTCGGCAGTATACTTCAGTGAGGTAGCACTATAAAGTCGATATCAGTTTCGCGCTATCACAAGGAGACAAACACGAACATACCGCAGCCTCCTAAAACACACGCATACACTACACGCATGCATAACTCACACAGGTGAGGCCCTCCTTAAATGACCATTGCTGTTGATAGGACGTTAAACAATACAAACCAAACCAAACTGTTCTCTGTATATAGAGAGAGGTGACCCGAAGTAACCAAAGTTCACAGAAGGGAGAGGTGACCCGAAGTAACCAAAGTACACAGAGGGGAAAGATGACCCGGGGTAGCTAAAGTACATAGAAAGGAGTCGAGGTAACCCAAGTACATATAGTGGTGAGGAAACCTGGAGTAACCAAAGAACACAGAGGGGAAAGGTGACCCGAGGTAAACAAAGTACATAGAAAGGGGCCGAGGTAACCAAGTACATACAGGGGTGGGGGAACCTGGAGTAACCAAAGTACACAGAGGGGAAAGATGACCCGGGGTAGCTAAAGTACATAGAAAGGAGTCGAGGTAACCCAAGTACATATAGTGGTGAGGAAACCTGGAGTAACCAAAGTACACAGAGGGGAAAGGTGACCCGAGGTAACCAAAGTACATAGAAAGGGGCCGAGGTAACCCAAGTACATACAGTGGTGAGGAAACTTGGAGTAACCAAAGTACACAGAGGGGAAAGGTGACCCGAGGTAACCAAAGTACATAGAAAGGAGCCGAGGTTACCCGAGAACATACCGGGGATGAGGGGACCTTGAGTAACCAAAGTACACAGAGGGGGTAGGTGACCCGATGAAGCCACAATACAGAGTAAAAGTATCTTCGCGAACCACTTTCAATGTCAGTCTACCTTCTACCAGTATCACACAATGTTCGGTTATATATTACCATTGATTTGCCAGGCGTCTGTACTAATTTAGCAGCCACAATAAAAAACTATTTGACTATCTTTTCTAGTCATTGGTACACTTTGTCGCCTATTACTATTCGACCCCAGTGGAAATAAGCTTCGGGCTTTCTGGGTAATCCTGGTTTTAAGGGCAACATATATTTTAGTTATTTTATTTTTCGTACGAATAACCGTTACCTACCTTGTAATTAATAAAATTGTGATAACTTTTTTAGAGACTTATATAATTTTACATTTACATGTTTTATAATGTAATCAGCCATATACATTATTAGTGCCAAAACTTGTATTTGTTGGGGTACTGTAATAAATTGTTACGTTGTACCTTTTTACCAAATAAACTTGAATTTTTATTGAATACTACGACCCCTCTATTTACACAAGCAAATTTTATCCAGTCCTGTCGAATCTATCTAGTTAACACATTAAAGTAAGGTAAAATAGTTTGTCTTTGATTACTGAATCCTATCTGTAATATTCACAAAATGGTTTATGTTAACGTGTAACAAACACACCTGTAGTAGCCCCCGCAGCGTTCCTGACATCTTGTATGGAAGCCTCCTCCAGCCGGAATTTGTACTGACTGTCCGCTACGAAGGCGTAGAACGCTCCTCCGTACACGATGTCTACTGTCACGTGACCGTACCCTGGGACATCTACAGCCACATCTAGAAACAAATGAAATGCTACATATTTTTTTCCTTTCTTTAAGGAATGATAACATATTATATGTACAAGTAGTTGAATAAGATAGTGCAGTGCAGTTGTATATTTGCGGTCAAAAATTACTCGATTCAGACACTTTTATAGATTTCTCCTATCTTATAAACAAGAAAATGTTTATTTTTTCTACAAAAAACATGTAACATGTATCATCGGGGCCTTGTTCAGATTTGTAAGAATATAAGTAAGAAGACTAGAGTTTGTATGTTATGGTAACAAAACTGATTTTCCGGCATACATTTTATTAACTAAGGTAATTTAAAAGCCACAAGACCCTGTGATGTAAACCCCACCCCATCATTGGAAATATTATATCGTGTCCTTTACATACTCAATACATATGTAGAACATCAGTGCCATATAATATTAAGTGTAATGTTTAATATAATCTGAAATGTAATGGGGTAACATTAATGTTGCTATTCATTATCCCTAATAAAGAATGTTGCCTGAATAGCATGCGTTATTATAAACTTTGCTCTGTGTCACAACATTACGCTCAATATGAAACCTGTTTAAACATACTGCATTCTCAAAATCACACTACTCCACAGTTCTCTAAATTCTATTCGGTGCATACAGTCTTATGTCGACATGTAGCTCAAACACCGCATGTAATAGTTTAACACCTTAGGAACTATCACATGTTTTTACATCAATTTATATAAGTAACTATGGTTACAGCGGAAAACATTCCAGTTTTGTACACACGTTTTTATAATAGGAAGTTACAGATCTGACAGCTTTATAACCCCCCAAAAATAACGTATTTTTAGAGAAAGACTTTGTCTTATATGTTTATTACGTAGGGCCTCCCAAAGGAGGTTTGGAGATTTAAAGTCTTTCATATCATGATATAAATAGGCAGTGGTGCATACATACTGGATATTATCAAAATGAAAACTTTCTGGCTACATATAGAAAGCCCAAGTCACTTTCATATAAGAGATTATTTGTATAAACAAAATAGTGTAATCTGAGTTTATCATGTGTCCCCTTGATACCTGTAGCGAAGACAAAAGCCGGGACACTGTTAAATCGGACGTTTCCGGTCTTGCCGTCCTTGTACTCCACAAACGCCTCCACCAGTCCACATGGACACTGGATAGCCACGCGCGTCTCCAGACTAGAGGGGTTCCTGACAAGTCCTGTATCCACGGCGTACCGTCCAAGGGCGACAACCGCGTGTCCACACATCGTACTGTACCCCTCGTTGTGCATGAAGATGGTAGCTATGTCGGCGTCCTTGTTATCGGCTGGTACTAACAACGCTCCATACATGTCGTAGTGACCGCGTGGCTCATACATCAACAACTTTCTGTAAGGGTCGAGATGTTCCCGGGTGTAGCGGATTTTGTCGAGTATGGTATCACCCCGAGGGGAGGGGAAGCCAGACTCTACCACCCTCAATGGTTCCCCGGCCGTATGCATCTCTCTCGTCCGAATTTCAACATTGTCTGGTATCTCGGCCATGTTCTTCATCGTATATCTATCACGTATATCGGTCACAGATGAATGATTCAAGATGGCTTCCCGAGATAGCCAGCGAGCTTTGACCGAAAATCCAATCAGTCAAATTTACCTTGATTAAAAAGGCAATACATATCAGTATAAACCGGTGATTCACTCATACCGATACACGTATGTGATAAGAGTTGCTATACTACTGTTCTTGTACCTGTGTATATATACATACAAAACAAAATTACCTATCTTTACAACAAAGGCAAAGCCTTAAAAGAGCGAAGCTTTTGTTGATCTCTGATATTTATTGTATTTAAAGTCGGTTAGTCGAGGGATAACAATAAAACATAAACTCTAATGAGATTAAGACCGACATAACAATAGGGGAGATCGGGGCAAATTCGGCCCATTTTTATTAAAGTCCGTTCTGTGAAGTATGGCAGCACGTCCGTTTTTGAACATTATTTAATTTTCCCTGTCGGATGATAGGATCACCGAAAGAGACCCGCAATGGGATAAGTTCGGACAGACATTCGGGTAAGTTCTGCCCTATTGGAACTAGCTTAATTATGACGTTATAAAAGAAATCAGGGGTGGCCGAACTTGCCCCGGTCTCCCGTATGTAGTTTTTTTGTATCGTTGATGTTTCTTCTTCTTCTTCTTCTTCTTCTTCTTCTTCTTCCTTTAATAGAGAATACGCTATCTAGAGTGTTGAGTTCTCCAGCGCGACTTATGCCGACCGCAGCTAAAACTTCCGTATGTACAGTTTAAAAGAGGTAAAAACAGTGGGGTCTTCATAGCGTATTGGTGGTCGGCTGCCTCGTACTGTACGAGGGCGTGCCTGAAGCTGTCCAGGGTGGGAGACGATCGTATGTCGGGTGGGATTGCATTCCATGTGATGATGGTACGTGGTACACACGAGTATCGGTAGGACCTATGTGTCGAGCTTTGTTGGAGTTTGCCGTATGTTGTTAGCAGTAGCTCCTCTGGTTCTTCCTGATGTTACGGTAATGTCCTTATGTATTGGTACCTCAACCAGATTGTTGATAATTTTGTAATTTTGTTTGAAAGCTTAAGTAGATGATGGGTCGGGTGGCGCAGTGGATAGCGCGCTCGTCTTCACTAAGATGACCGGATTCAATCCCGGTTACCTGCCCGATGGGGGTTTTCTCCGGATACTCCGGCTTCCCCCCACATTAAGAATAAAATCCTCTGCATGTTTCCGTCAGGTCACACAAAGAATGATTGAAATAAGGTGGGAAAAAACTGTTTGGTAATTGCTATAGAAAAAAAGTGCATATTACATATTTGACGATATTTAAAAGTAAATGTATAGAGATGTTAGTTAAAAAATGAAATTAAAAAAAGAAAACATTGTAATACTTTGATGTAACTGAGATTGTCGTTATATCGATATTTAGAATTCCTGTTCCATCCTAAAACACCGGATTGAAATTTTGTAACTGTCACTGAGGTTTGACAGGTAATAATGCCAAATACAATTAAACAGTTTCTGTCTCTAACTAGTTATAAAGTGGCATGCGTTGTAAAAAAGGAATACGTTGCTGCAAAAGGGCGTTGAACTCGGGTTCGTCGTCTAGAAAATTATTGTTGATTTCGACATAAATTAATTATGCATTGTTTCTTTTATGAATGCTGATGCATACATAAATAATTATGTAAAAACTATAACCAGACTTTCAAAAATGTTAATTATTTCGTTCATATTCTCAACAAATGAAAATCAAAAGCAGATGAAATTTTAGACGATGAAAAATATATGTTCACGTTGACCTATTGGTTTAATGCAGTTCTTTTTGAAAATATCACTCGGTAGAAATATTATCAGAACCTGGTTGATGACAAAATAGGATCTTCAGAAAACATCCGCGTTTTTACTTTTTGTGCCTGTGGCAAAAACTGAAATTAAAATGTCATGAAGCACCGACAAAGAGATAAAGCAACGGCCAGCAGTTCATAGATTTTCCGGTTATTTTTACGCTCTTATAATGTTCGTCATGTGACTTATAATATAATTCAACTTGACGTAAACATGTCAATACGCAATTTTATTAAGACAACATCCTCAACCCCCCAAAACAGCCCCCGCCCCCCNCCTTCAGAAAAGATGTTACTTGTGAAGATTACTAAGACACATCCTGTATCAGTTATTAGATATGTGTATTAACGTCGACATTCCGTGAGTTGAAATGAATAACGACACGCCTACAATGAATACAAAGTTTAATGTATACAAGCTACATCCTTGGTGAATGAATATATTATCGGAGGATGGTCGGGGTATCTGAACGAAGTGTCAATTTGTAACAAGAGGCCCATGTGCCTTAATGGTCACCTAAGTGAAGCTACAATGTAAGCTATGTGTGATACAAATAATGCTGAGTATGATATTTACACTAATAAAAGCTTAGTTGGGCAAACAAAGAGTGGTTTCATAAGGAAAAGGTCTAAATCTATCAGCAGTCATGTCGCAGTGACGATGTCGGTGTTGTGTGATCCTCATCATCTGAAGATCATTTTATTAAACCTGTAAGCTTTAGAGAGAACGGGTTCGGAAGGGTTTGTACTCCCTGGCCCCTAATGTTTCAGCCGTTTTCGGTCGTAGCAACTATTTATGAACACTATATTTACATCCTAAAATTGTGGTGGAAGTAACGTTAATGGATTAAAATCACGACGTGTGTGGTACCTGGAATACAGCAACGTTGTCTCTCCACTGAAGAGCGATTTTAGACCTGAAGGTACAATGTAGCACAATTAGTCATCGTGTTGGACTTGAGGCTCACATTTATGATGATTTTACAGGGTTGGGGGATCACTTAATTTCTGGGTTTTTTTCAGCTGATGATCATGACGTGTGATATAATGAAAGATGTTTTTAGGATTGAAGTGCGAGGAAGTCTTTTTAGTAGCGTTTTTTTATTGACGAGTTGAGATTCCTGCGTGGACAAATGCCCGTATTCACGAAATCATTACCATGCTCAAGAATGAACTATGTGGTAAACTTTTTGCAACTCGCTTAAATCATGTAGTACGGTCAGAAAAGTCAAGTGTAAACATTAAAAAATGTATTTGGCTTTTAAGTCTCTCCAACATTCCACCATATCATTTACAACACGTGTTCTGTTATCATTACCGTTATTAACTTGTCACAGTAACAATAAATTGGGCATGAGTATGGAATCTGAGTTTGAGCATGTGATGGTTTCATGGGACCACTTTTTGTAGATGGTTTCTTAGCTTTTTGTGGATCGGGGCGTGTGACTGATATGGAGAGGAGGCTAAAGCGGCGTCTTCGTGAACTTTGAGTCGCGCAAATTTTGATTTTCTAAATCTAGAGCAGTAGATGTGCACTTCTGTCACTGCCGAAGGTCCCACTTCTGTCACTGCCGAAGGTCCCATGGTTAGTCACTGCCGAAGGTCCCACTTCTGTCACTGCCGAAGGTCTCACTTCTGTCACTGCCGAAGGTCCCATGGTTAGTTCTTTTCGGCAGTAAGCGAAACCAGTGTTCAATTGTTGATCAAACAAAGTTTTTTAGCCTTATGTTTGATTCCAGATTGTCCTTTTTGCCGTGTTTAAAGGGTCTGAAGAATTCTTCTGTGGCTATGGATGTTTCTAGGATCTTGTTTCGTGCAGATTTGGGACGGACCACCACGTGCAGTCGCGACATTATCGATCACGTCTTCCACCAAAGCTTCCTTATGGATCCATTGATTATGGGTTGGCTCGCTGGTCAAAATTTGCAGATGCTCGGATATATTGTCATAACGATTGCCATCTATAATTTATGCATTGCGTAGTCGGAATGACTATGGGTACCGGGTGCTAAGTTTATGGTTAGTTCATGATCACAAGGGTTCATTACAAATGTCTAAGATTTTTTTAGATACACGTAGGGGAGAGCGAGGCAAGCTCATCCTATTTTGATTAAAGTTGTTCTGGGCAGTATTGGCATTTTTTTAAATTTATGTATATTTACACCATTTGGAAGAGAATTCCCCTGCCTTCCATAGAATATTAACACGTCCGTGTTTGAAGAATTACTCGAGACAAGTTCGGACAGATATTCTGGTGCAAGTTCAGCCCAAGTTGGGATCAGGGTAACTATGACGTCTTGAAGCATGCAACGTCAGATTTTCCCGCCAAATTTTCGTCATGCTTCGGTATCATGGGCCGAACATGCCCAAAATTGATCGTATATTACAGCAAAACGAAAGTCAGTGTTAGGCTTTTATGTACACATCATGTGGTGCTGTCAATGTACGTGTTACATACATGACGTAAAAAAGTAGAAAATCGGTTTACAGAAATTCGCAAAACTAGGAAGACGTGAGGTAATCATTTTCTTTCTAATGTTAAGTTACCCCCAAAAAGTAACCTTTTTCCCCATTAAGTTAATACCAAAAGTATCAGGGATGGCTGCACTAACCCGGAGTTGTTTTCAGTCCCACTTGGACCGTTTTAACCAAATAAAACGAAAGCGGTCAAGCTATCATACCGGAAGTTAATATCAGAACAGGAAGTTGTAATAATCCAAGATGGAGGTGATCGAAAAGAAGACAACAAAACAAGAAACTACACGATCACTATGAAAACATCTCCGTCTCGTATAGTTACAATTGTCTGTATTTTTATTGTTTTGATTTCTGACCACAAACTATTAGCATTACATCTTAAGGGATCATGGAACACGGGCAGTTTCTTCAAATATCTGGCGAAATTTGCCATTCAAAAAACAAACACAAAAGATTTATTGGACACGGAAGGATTTGTTTATGGAAACATTACTTCAAAAAGTAATCCCTCTTCGTTTGTAACTTTGGTTGTCGTAGATAGTGAATATTTTATGGAGTTTCACGGAAACAGTACTCGTAAACTACACCAACACACATGTGCACGGATGTTTAACAAGATTGACACCATAGCGTTTGACTTCGAGTGCAAGAAACATGGGTTGGAGGATTTCCTTAGAAGGGTACCGTGTATAAAAGGAAAACTCTGTTACGACGAAGACAATCCAGCTAATGTCATGCCGGGATATCAGTTCACATACAAAGTACAAGATTTTAGGTCTCCAAGGTAACACAATTATTGTAAAGAATGTGCTTCGTCTGGAGAAAGTTTCCCTTTAGCTCAGTGGTAGAGCGCCTGTAACGTGCAGGAAGGCACCCACCCAGCGGCTGACCATGCTTGACAGGTCGTTTTGCTCTAAATCTCCTTTGCACAACTGTTCGTTTAGCTCTGAGTCAAATTTATCCAAGGTTGTTTCACAATTCACACTGATGTAAATAAATATTTAAGTAATAAGTTTCATTTTAAATGTTGTTAAAGATTAAAATACTTCATGTTTCCAGACTACTAGCGTTGTATGGGGATCTGGTCAACCATGTCTATAGTCATAATTAGGACATCAGTTAAACTTTAAATGAGACTTGTAATCAATGCACGACTAAACATGCCTGAAAAACTTGAACTCTAAACATACTTTTAGGGCATAGCAACCTAGCACAAAATGAACGTGGGCGAATAAGATTTAGGGCAAAATAACCTGACACCCAGGTTATACTGCATAGCTGGAAAAACTAGATTGCCAGTAAGGCTGAATCTTCCCTTCATTATCCTTTCATTTTAGCTGTTACACTTTACCCCCTCCAAGAAGTCTCATGCAGAGATATAAACCTGGCCTGGGGAATCCCATGGCTCCTCCCTGTGTACCAATTAATGCACCTTCCCTAACCTCTGGAACTGGCCTTGCATGGTACCTTAGGATCTCTATACTGTCACCAAATGCAACATACGAGCGGGCAACCATCAACCCACTGACCATGCTCTATGTTTCTGAACTAAGGAGCACAACCCCGAGTTATACCACATTGCTGGAAAAGCTAGCTTGCCAGTAAGACAGTATTTCCCCCTCATCTTCCATGGCTGTAACACGTCTGATTAGAAAGTCTGGACCCAGGGGATCGATCCAAGCTAAAAAACATCCTTCTAACACTACTTTCTTTCTATTGCGCTATACTATTAGTCCTCTGGCTCCAACACCTAAGACTATTTGACATTATGTCAGATACTCCACACTAAATATCTACCTGTCAAAATGTCAAGAAAGTCTGGTGTAGTATCATAGGAAATTTAAGGTAAATCTGTAAATGAATGCTTTAGTTACATGTTGTTTCTTTCAATTAACAAAATTTGCAAATATGGAAAGTGAAGAGTTAATTAAAACTTCATGTCAATATGTTATTCCTGTCAATGTAAAACGTCATTAATGAGCATTCATATACATGGTTTGAGTGTCTATCAGTATACAGATGTTTGGGTTTCATAGGCAAATATAAATTTTAAATTAACAGGACCTCAAACCCCTTATAATAATAATAATATACAACATTTGATATAGCGCCCTGTCTAGCTAACATAATCCACTCTAAAGCACTTTACAGTACATAGATATACAATTTTATATGGTCAATACAATAAGCATATATATATTAATCAATACAATATTGAGGAATTCGCAGGAGCTGCCTTTTCAGGCGCTAACTACTCCTATGCCACCTGACTAATATCTCCCTATGTGTGTATGCCTGTGTGTGTGCTGGAGATGTATTGTGTACCTTTCTATAATAAAACTCATGATCAGCATTCTATTAATTTTGTATTTATTCACCTTTGAAACCCAAACAACTTTGATCAGTATATGCATTGACAGAAGAAAAATTGTAAGGTGATATTGTAAATAAAAATGGCTTTTTATTGAATGTTATATTTCAAGAAAATGTTTGCTCAATATCTATATTTTAGCAAGCTTGTGACAAAAGCTTCTTTGATAACATATTAAAATTTTTCTATTTCAAAGTTCTACATGAATTTATGTTGTTGATAATTGAGAACAAAATGTTTTTCTTTGTTTTCCAGGTTCTGGTATGTAAGTCTAGTTGCCTGTCAGCGTAACCATTGTGTGTGGGAGCGGAATGATGACAAGCCGTTTAATATTGACTATGACATCTGGTTGGTCAATGGAAACCCAGCCTCCAAACATTTTAACCCATTCGAACACCAATTTTCATTTGACGACCATGATATTTTTGAAGTTTATTTATTATTTCTATTATTCTATGGCATAATATTACCTATTTGGATTTATGCTTTTATTAAACAAAAGCACCCCATTACACAATTATTTACATCTGTGATAGTAATGGAAGTGATAGGTATAGCAATGAATTTCTTACATGTATTCATATTTTCATTCAATGGTGTTGGGTTCTTCCCATTGGAAATAGTTGGGAATGCCGTGGACACAATATCACAGTGCTTGTTTATGTTGTTTCTACTACTGGTAGCCCGTGGCTGGACCATTTCACACATGGAGATAAAGGGACGTGCTGTGGTCTTCTCCGTCTGGGGTGTATACACTCTCTCAAACTTCGTTCTGTATTTCTGGAACCTGGTAAGACACTTTAATTTCTTACTGGAAGGTATGGTATTCAACCTATTAAGTGATCAAGACACATAATGATTTGAATCTTTTGGGGGAAAGATTAATGGAAACTTAAATAAAAAACAAGAGCTTTAATTAGCTGTTCATACCTGATGTTTAAGGGCATTTAACTACCACATAATACCACATACCACAGAAAAAGAAAAGGGAGAGTTGTGCTTTAAATTGAAAGTGAAGTACGTATACCTTATACAAAAACCACATTTTGTGTATACATATTATACGGTTTTGAAAATTGTAATGTCTTATGTTGTTTTTATACAAAAACCAGCTTAAATGTTGACTTTTCAAATTCTTGGACTAATTTATAGAATCAGAAGATCCATTTTACTAATTTTATTAAAAGCTATGAATGTCTAAAATCTTTCAGACTGAGATTGATGAAATCTCTAACATCGATGAATGGCAGACCTATCCAGGTTACATCACGCTTGGCTTACGTATGGTCATTATGATATGGTTCGTGGTGGAACTTAGACGTACTGTATTCCATAGCAAGCATCCCGACAGACTGAACTTCCTACAGCAGTTTGGCGCCTTCTTCCTTGTCTGGTTTATATACCTGCCAGTACTAGCCATCATAGGAACACAGATCTCAGCTTTATGGAAGCATAAAACCATTCTTAGTAAGTTGTGTACAAAAACTTCATCAAATATGACCAGGTTCTGATGAAATTTGGTCATTACTTATATTATATATACCAAAGTGTAATAGTTCATGGTTTTGGACGGGCTTATATTGTGCACATGGTATATTATATTTATTATTATTCTACTTCACTGTATGAAAAAGTGAATGTATTGTTTTGTTATTTGCAGCGATAACACTTGGATCTGATCTGCTGTGTGTCCTGGTGATGATCCATCTGCTCTGGCCCAGTAGATCCATCCTTTATCTCATCAAAACAGAGAGTAACATATCAACGTACGACCTAGAGCTTACAGGTAAGCTGGCTAGTATCTACAGTGTACAGGTGAGTCACTGAGTTGACTAGTATCTACAGTGTACAGGTGAGTCACTGAGCTGGCTAGTATCTACAGTGTACAGGTGAGTCACTCAGTTGACTAGTATCTACAGTGTACATATGAGTCACTGAGCTGGCTAGTATCTACAGTGTACAGGTGAGTCACTGAGCTGGCTAGTATCTACAGTGTACAGGTGAGTCACTGAGCTGACTAGTATCTACAGTGTACAGGTGAGTCACTGAGCTGACTAGTATCTACAGTGTACAGGTGAGTCACTGAGCTGGCTAGTATCTACAGTGTACAGGTGAGTCACTGAGCTGGCTAGTATCTACAGTGTACAGGTGAGTCACTGAGCTGACTAGTATCTACAGTGTACAGGTGAGTCACTGAGCTGACTAGTATCTACAGTGTACAGGTGAGTCACTGAGCTGGCTAGTATCTACAGTGTACAGGTGAGTCACTGAGCTGGCTAGTATCTACAGTGTACAGGTGAGTCACTGAGCTGACTAGTATCTACAGTGTACAGGTGAGTCACTGAGCTGACTAGTATCTACAGTGTACAGGTGAGTCACTGAGCTGGCTAGTATCTACAGTGTACAGGTGAGTCACTGAGCTGGCTAGTATCTACAGTGTACAGGTGAGTCACTGAGCTGACTAGTATCTACAGTGTACAGGTGAGTCACTGAGCTGACTAGTATCTACAGTGTACAGGTGAGTCACTGAGCTGGCTAGTATCTACAGTGTACAGGTGAGTCACTGAGCTGGCTAGTATCTACAGTGTACAGGTGAGTCACTGAGCTGACTAGTATCTACAGTGTACAGGTGAGTCACTGAGCTGACTAGTATCTACAGTGTACAGGTGAGTCACTGAGCTGGCTAGTATCTACAGTGTACAGGTGAGTCACTGAGCTGGCTAGTATCTACAGTGTACAGGTGAGTCACTGAGCTGACTAGTATCTACAGTGTACAGGTGAGTCACTGAGCTGACTAGTATCTACAGTGTACAGGTGAGTCACTGAGCTGGCTAGTATCTACAGTGTACAGGTGAGTCACTGAGCTGGCTAGTATCTACAGTGTACAGGTGAGTCACTGAGCTGACTAGTATCTACAGTGTACAGGTGAGTCACTGAGCTGACTAGTATCTACAGTGTACAGGTGAGTCACTGAGCTGGCTAGTATCTACAGTGTACAGGTGAGTCACTGAGCTGGCTAGTATCTACAGTGTACAGGTGAGTCACTGAGCTGACTAGTATCTACAGTGTACAGGTGAGTCACTGAGCTGACTAGTATCTACAGTGTACAGGTGAGTCACTGAGCTGGCTAGTATCTACAGTGTACAGGTGAGTCACTGAGCTGGCTAGTATCTACAGTGTACAGGTGAGTCACTGAGCTGACTAGTATCTACAGTGTACAGGTGAGTCACTGAGCTGACTAGTATCTACAGTGTACAGGTGAGTCACTGAGCTGGCTAGTATCTACAGTGTACAGGTGAGTCACTGAGCTGGCTAGTATCTACAGTGTACAGGTGAGTCACTGAGCTGACTAGTATCTACAGTGTACAGGTGAGTCACTGAGCTGACTAGTATCTACAGTGTACAGGTGAGTCACTGAGCTGGCTAGTATCTACAGTGTACAGGTGAGTCACTGAGCTGGCTAGTATCTACAGTGTACAGGTGAGTCACTGAGCTGACTAGTATCTACAGTGTACAGGTGAGTCACTGAGCTGACTAGTATCTACAGTGTACAGGTGAGTCACTGAGCTGGCTAGTATCTACAGTGTACAGGTGAGTCACTGAGCTGGCTAGTATCTACAGTGTACAGGTGAGTCACTGAGCTGACTAGTATCTACAGTGTACAGGTGAGTCACTGAGCTGACTAGTATCTACAGTGTACAGGTGAGTCACTGAGCTGGCTAGTATCTACAGTGTACAGGTGAGTCACTGAGCTGGCTAGTATCTACAGTGTACAGGTGAGTCACTGAGCTGACTAGTATCTACAGTGTACAGGTGAGTCACTGAGCTGACTAGTATCTACAGTGTACAGGTGAGTCACTGAGCTGGCTAGTATCTACAGTGTACAGGTGAGTCACTGAGCTGGCTAGTATCTACAGTGTACAGGTGAGTCACTGAGCTGACTAGTATCTACAGTGTACAGGTGAGTCACTGAGCTGACTAGTATCTACAGTGTACAGGTGAGTCACTGAGCTGGCTAGTATCTACAGTGTACAGGTGAGTCACTGAGCTGGCTAGTATCTACAGTGTACAGGTGAGTCACTGAGCTGACTAGTATCTACAGTGTACAGGTGAGTCACTGAGCTGACTAGTATCTACAGTGTACAGGTGAGTCACTGAGCTGGCTAGTATCTACAGTGTACAGGTGAGTCACTGAGCTGGCTAGTATCTACAGTGTACAGGTGAGTCACTGAGCTGACTAGTATCTACAGTGTACAGGTGAGTCACTGAGCTGACTAGTATCTACAGTGTACAGGTGAGTCACTGAGCTGGCTAGTATCTACAGTGTACAGGTGAGTCACTGAGCTGGCTAGTATCTACAGTGTACAGGTGAGTCACTGAGCTGACTAGTATCTACAGTGTACAGGTGAGTCACTGAGCTGACTAGTATCTACAGTGTACAGGTGAGTCACTGAGCTGGCTAGTATCTACAGTGTACAGGTGAGTCACTGAGCTGACTGGTATCTACAGTGTACAGGTGATTCACCGACATGAGTTGACTAGTATCTACAGTTTACAGGTGAGTCACTGAGCTGACTAGTATCTACAGTGTACAGGTGAAATAAGCTGTTGCCATGGTAGTTTACTAACTACCACCCAGGATTTGCTTGCAGTAGAAATATTTCCCCCTGACATCAAGCCATGCATACTTTTGTTGGTACGTGTAAATTTGTCTTTTAGAAGTAGATTTTGTGCAAAAATGATATATTTGACAGATGATGAGTGTTTATGGTGAAAATTTTGTTGTAAACATGCATTTAGAGGTAACATTTTGTGAATGATACAGGTTTTGTGATAAATTATAAAAGACAGTTTCTTTGTGTGTACAGGTTTGCTAGACATTGATGACCAGGAAGAGAACAGTATATTTAGCAGAGAGTCCCATTTTACCAGTAAACACATAGAGCCTAACCACAACACCATTCAAAATGGAAAATACCACTCAAAGAATTGTATTCCTAATGGCACCAACCATCTGGTAGAAGAGAGTGGTGACCTTATTGAGATGGACACCATTGATATCCATCGACAGGAAGGAAAGATCTAGACGTCCATTCCACCTTATACAGAATACTGCAGAGTTTTATTTCTTTGTCACTGAAATAATAAGAAGTCCCCTTTATTTCTTCTGGTATGTGGGAATCAGTTCATTTGAATCAAGGAGGTTATATGTCTACAAATGTTACAGGTGCTTTTAACAGCTTTTCCATAATACAAATTTGTTGTACATATTTTCCAGACCTTTGCTTTACACATTTTCAAAGTTTTGTCATACCTGAATTTTTACGATAACAAAAAGCACTGATTGTGGGAAGAGAAAAGGTTACTTAATGTTTATTAGTCATCAAGTTATCAGTATCAGTTTTCCATATAGAAAACCATATAAATATAATTAATAGGTTGATCAATGAAATCACATCCAGGGTGATTACCAACATCTAGCAGGTTTGTTCAATGAGTCGGGAGAGAGGAAAACCTATAGTGGATGTGGGAGAAAAAAAGCTATCCCACTCCAGTACACGGGAGTAGTTTGATGTATTTCAAAGACAAAATGTCGACACTCGCCTTGTTATATTGTCCATATTGATTACATTTAATAGTCCTTCTATTAGTGAAATGATGGTGATAGAAATCATATATCTGGAAATTCACATTCCATAATATTGAATTTAGCTAGTACATTTATAAACTATTGTTTTTATTCAGCCTTGAACACATTAACCTTTGTTAAAGCTATAAAATAGCTTCGTAATAATTATAAGTTTGGCGTGATACATATTATTGTTGTTTTTTACCAGTTGTTTGCATATTGAACATTTTGTCGAAATACCTGTAATGGATAGTGATATTTAAAATGATGTTTCTTTTTTAAATTGAAGTTCTTATGATATATTTATGTCTGATTTCAGTACAGTTTATTAAAATCTGAAGTAATTAGTTATTCACTAAATTCTTTGTATCTATCTTATGTAGAAGTAGAGCAAGTCCCTTGTTTGAATTTTAGCATGTTTCTTGGAAATTTGTGAGGTTGATGGCCACACAATTAGTGAACAGAAAAAAAATGTAAAATTACAGGTAGACATTTATTTTTGTGATGTGGCTTGATTGATTTTCTAGTTGACTTGTCCAGTGCCAAATTTTGAGTATAGGTCAGTTATACTGTATTTAATATACATTTACTAGTATAGACAAATCTAGTTCTCTAGTGCTGTAGTACAAGTAAAATACTGAGAATATGTAATGCTCCTGATGGCAATGTATATTAAAGTAATATAGAGGTTTAAGTCAATTTAAATTTGAATTATCACTTAGAAAAATAAGGAAACAAGGTATTTCTGACATCAGATGTTGTTGGTTTTATTAATTATCAAATGCCATTGAGATCAAAATTCTTACTTTTAAAAGAAGAAAAGATCCGTCCCATTTTTTTGCACTACGTGTACTCTGAGATTACCTATAGTTCCTATAGTACCTTATATGTTCCATCATTTCTCTTCTACATACATATGTAAATTTGATTTAGATCAAATCAAATGTTAGCTGACATATGAACATATGCTTTAAAAAGTTCAATTTTTATTAAATCGTAAATGATACATGACAAGGGTTTCAGCATAATGTTTTACTCAAAAGACTTGCAACATATTCCAAGATCATGTTGTGCCATTATGTTTGCTTAGAGATGATGCTCTTTAATTTCATTTATTTAAGAATCAATAAAGCAGCATATATGTATTTTTAACATTGAAACATATAATACATTTCAATATAAATTTTAACATATCAACTCATTATTTTCTGTTGAAGATGTCATGAATCCTGTATATTTAACACATAATAGTGCTCATAGTGGATGGTACAAATATTAATAAGATTTATAGGAAGACATCAGCATCAGATTTTGTCTTTCGTTTTTGCTGTCAACTTATCTATTTAGATTTTGTGTTTTGCAATCTTCAGCAGAATAATTGAGTATACAGTACTTGAGTATGGCATTCTAAGACGGATTGCCAAATGTCTGACAGTCCAACACAAGCTGTGTATTTTGAACATCACATTTATTAATTAAACTCAGATTTCTGTGTTTCCGTGGTAGGTGAAAGAATTTTCAAAATAAGATGAAAATGATGAGAAACAAGAGGTATGGTTTTAGACAACCAAAATCTACCCTAGGATGATGGCTACTGTGTTTGTGTTATAATTTGTTTGACATTTTGTTACTAATGTATTCAAACACTGATTTTTGTACTTTTCTTTGTTTCTTTCATGATGAAATGACAATATAGTAATGTACATTCATTCCCCTGTTTTGTTTGACTTTGTGAAATTGTTGAAATCACAAACCCAGAGTTAATTATATAGTTACATATAAAATTAATTATTGAGTACTCCTGAATAGATCCAGTGGTTGGTGCTACTTCATTATATAAATACATACATGTCACGAGTCCACATACAAAATTATATAAATAAATATATGTCACGAGTCCACATACAAAATTATAAAAATATATACATGTCACGAGTCCACATACAAAATTTTATAAATACATACATGTCATGAGTCCACATACAAAATTACATAAATACATACATGTCATGAGTCCACATACAAAACTATATAAATACATACATGTTACGAGTCCACATACAAAATTACATAAATACATACATGTCACGAGTCCACATACAAAATTTTATAAATAAATACATGTCACGAGTCCACATACAAAATTATATAAATACGTACATGTCACGAGTCCACATACAAAATTATATAAATACATACATGTAACGAGTCCACATACAAAATTATATAAATACATATATGTCACGAGTCCACATACAAAATTATATAAATAAATATATGTCACGAGTCCACATACAAAATTATAAAAATATATACATGTCACGAGTCCACATACAAAATTTTATAAATAAATACATCTCACGAGTCCACATACAAAATTATATAAATACGTTCATGTCACGAGTCCACATACAAAATTATATAAATACATACATGTCACGAGTCCACATACAAAATTATATAAATACATTTATATCGTACATTCCTACTACATTGTATTACAGACACTAGATTATTAGCTGACCCGTTATAGAATCTTTAGCTGTATTACAGACACTAGATTATTAGCTGACCCGTTATAGAATCTTTAGCCCGCAAGGTTTTGTTGACTTATTCCTTGACACGAATCTCTGTTAACACAATACAATATACATTTCTGTTGACAAATTCCCCAACATTCATTAAACTTTGTTGACAGATTCCCTGACTCCAGTCTTTGGTACACTTTATACAGCATTGATTACAATTATAATTTTATTTTTGTGAGTTTTTTTGTAGAATATGAGTTTTTGCTGTGTTGAATTTGCAGTTTTGTCATTGTTCTTCCTGTTGATATCATGGATTCATTTTTGAAAAATTATCGTAATAAATGTCCAGTATATATGATAGTTCAAAAATTCATTCACTTGTATTCATGCATCATAAAATTTTCGTTCTTATCTGATATGAAATAAAGTGATATCTGCCTGATCATCGACCCCATAAACTGCAATGTCCATTTCCTCACGTACAGGTAATGTTTTATTTTGATTTACCTCATTTCTATATACAACTGTAATACTGTTAGTGTAATGTGATATCCATGGATCTGTAGCAAATCACATTTTCTCCAAACCAACTAGAGAAACGGGTACAATGTATTGCAAGTATAAATACAGGGTCAATAAAGATGTGAAGTTACACTTTCCATTATTTCCATCTTTGTAACAAAATGCATAACAAAACTTCTAAATAGATTGAATATGTTTCAGTATGAGGAATTGTAAAAAATGTTGTAATGCCAATTAATTTGCATAATGTCCAATATACTTTTGAGTTTTAGTGAAAGCTAAACATAACTGTTTCTATTTTCCAAAGAAACAGGTGCCAAATAATTAACAATGTAAAAAAGTGTTTTCTTAACGGAGCTAGCTGTATTGCAGAATTTAACGTTATAAATAAGAGTAAGACTGCATCCCATACCGTCCTCTTATTGCACCGTGTAATTGATTCTCATTACCAAGGTGGTGTCAACATTTACATATGGTGTATTTTGATATGGAATAAAAGTTAGGTTTATTGTCATTCAACTTCATCACAAGGACTTCTGTCTTCCAACTCGAGTCCCATATAAACATATATATACAGGTACCTTTGTTTATGATTATCATATATATATATATATATACATATAATCTTCATACCCCTCCTCTAATGCTCAGTTCACACACAAATTAGTACATGTAAAAGTACATTTTAGAATCTACAAGAGTGTTGTGATTTTTTTCTGTGTTCAGTCGTCGGTTACATTTATGAATTTATGATCATTAACGTTCAGTTGTTATAATACCAGTACTACACGTAAAAAATAAGTAAGTGTATATTTGTGAGATGATTGGTAATTGATAAAAACATGAAAACACTGTTCTTTGTATATTTTAAATCTTGACTTGCCATTATGTTATAATAAAACACAACACAGTTGTATATACATGTACCTTGTTTGCCTGAGCGATCAAGCTTGATTACTGAGTGTATCTGTATACAGAATGTTTGTCTGTGTGATACTAAATATTGATTACTGAGTGTATCTGTATACAGAATGTTTGTTTGCCCGAGCGTTCAAGCTTGGTTACTGAGTGTCTCTGTATACAGATTGTTTGCATGTTTACCCGAGTGATACCAAAACTTGATAAGTGAGTGTCTCTGCAATGAATTACATATCAGTTATGGAACAAATCAGTTTCAGTGATCAATAAAATCATGTGAGGAATTTGTATGCTACATGTACTAGTATGTACCTATATAGTCTTGTGTTTAATTTATTGACTTTTAATTACAAGGTCATATTTTTCATAAGGATTTAATGTGTAATCAGAGCGTGGGGGAATATTCACCAATCCTGTGCACCATGCTCACTGATGTAATGTTTCATACACAAAATGTACTCAGACATCTGTATTATATACATAACTACAATGAAATTTGAAATAATATCTTGTCCAAAAATGTTGTTTTCTTATTTGTCAATGGTGCTTCCTCTCAAAGCAGACGATACATGTATAATCTTCATATTTTAATGATGTTAATTTTTTCTAATTCTTTTATTACATATTGTTCTTTCTCTTATAAAGTCATTCAGGATTGATGGTTATTTTCCTATCTTTGTTAGGATTAAATTGACTACACTTTCGATCAACATTTAGTTACATGTAATAACTTAAAATAATTTTGAAGCTTTGTTAAGTTTTAAAACATTACATTTGTAATTTATATACTGGTATGTGAAGGTAATTGTTATGATAAAAGTATATAATCAGACCAATACATATATTAATCCTGATAATTAAATTCTTAATTTCTTATCGAAAATCATAGCTTGAATGATAACTTCAAATTATTGCTCAAACTCTGGCTATGGACCTCACTGTGGGTCTCAAACTCTGGCTATGGACCTCATGATCACTGTATAGCTATACAGGGTCTCAAAATCTGGCTATGGACCTCACTGTATACTGGGTCTCAAAATCTGGCCATGGACCTTGCTGTATAGCCATAATTGGTTTCAAAATCTTGCTATGGACCTCACTACTATATGGACTGGGTTTCAAAATCTTGTTATATGGGGTCTCAAAATCATGTTATTGACCTAACTATATAGCTATACAGGGTCTCATAATCTAGCTATTGACCTCATTATCTATAAGCTTAATGCTATATAGTCTGCATCCTACTAATTAGCTATGGTCTGCACTACATATACACTGTAGCACTACATCCATCTGCACTAGGTGTATATACGTGGGAGTGGGGGTGATCAGTGTATTGTTATCAAATCTTCAGGAAACTGTTGTTAGTTGTCCTTGATATTCTGATCCACTTCCATTTTATTTAAATGTTCATGGTTATGGTTAGTCTATGTGAATAAACAGTTGCCAATATGAAATGTCATACTTTTAAATGAACTTAATGTAATTTTTTATTATCCACAGCTTTTTTTATCTCCAAGTAAAAGCATAATTACCTGCAATTCTGAATATTGAGATTCCATCGATGAATAATCTTCATGTACTTGAAAAAGTAGAACGAATGAACAAAAGTTGAATTTATACTTCATGTACTCATATATGTACTTTTAAAGTGTCGTGTGCATAAGCAATGCATGTATTCAAATACAGGCATGTATGAATCGCAGCCATAGTCGGACATCACATTTTTCAATGAATAAAAACCCTTTCTTTATTGTTCTTGAGCAATTTTTCAAATGTTGTGATATATTTTGCAATACCGGTACTGCAAACATTTTGATGTTCAATCAATCAGAGTGATTAAATTTACAGTAATGTAAAACAAAATTGTGTTGTATTTGTGTGTTGTTCGTGAGATGATTACAGGTGATTCAAGGTCATAGGGACTCGTTAGGAGAATTGTCAAGGTTGTAAATTTTTACAGAGATGTATAATTCATATAAGTTTAAGGGGCAAGGTCAAGGTGAGAATGACTCCTGAGAATATGTCCAGGGTTTCAAGGCAAATGTCAAGGCCATGAAAAATCCTAGGTCGTAACTAATACACAGGCTGATACCCTCAGCTGCCATAAATCATTAAAGGGGCATAAAACTTGTGAAAATATTTCAAATATAAAGGAAATTGCAATCGGCAACTACTTAAGGACCTGTCATGTCTAAGCTTCATATATATATATATATGTCTAGAAGGTAAGCAGGAGTGCTTCAGACAAAACGTATAAACAGTAGTCAGAAAACGGGAAAACCCCTCATAAATAAACCTGAAAAAGTTAGCATAAGAGCACACCTTCCAAGTGTGGTGATTTCACAATATTCTGATTAAACCAAAAGATCTACATAACCAACTTTTATCATAATAATGCTGTAAAAATAGCTGATTAAACAAGAGTTCCGCTAGACGGTCCATGATACGCCCGTCAGATGTAGAATGAGCAGTTTGCCACAAAGGTACATAAGTGCATAATTTTGGAGAGATAAGCGTCAAATCTTATCAAGCTTGTCCGAGTTTTCATGGCAATGAACCTTCCTACCAAGTTTGAAATTTATCCATTCATAATTACGCAAGTTATTGAGCGGAAACTGTTCCGGCAATTCTACAAAGGGCCATACCTCCGTAAATAACCAGCAAATAATTTTGGTTATCAAAAATGTCTGAGATTTCATAGTAATGAACCATTCTATGAGGTTTGAAATGAATCCATTCAAAATTACTGAAGCTATTGAGCGGAAACTGTTTTGACAATTCTACAAAGGGCCATAACTCCGTAAATAACCAGCAAATAATTTTGGTTATCAAAAATGTCTGAGATTTCATAGTAATGAACCATTCTATGAGGTTTGAAATGAATCCATTCAAAATTACTGAAGCTATTGAGCGGAAACTGTTTTGACAATTCTACAAAGGGCCATAACTGTGTAAATAACTGGTAAATAATTCTGGTTATCGAACTTGTCCGAGCTTACATAGCAATGAACCTTCCTATGAAGTTTGAAATTAATCCATACCAAAAGTTATTGAGCGGAAACTAATGTGTGCCCGCCCAAACGCCCGCGTGAAAACATAATACGTACCGTCTATAGACGGGCGTATAAAAAGATTAAGCAAAGGTGCACAACTTAACTTCAGAGTGGAGTTTTATGAAATTTGACAGACAAGTTTCCATCGAAAGACAACCCGATTCCAGTAGCCTTAAATAAGCTCATGATGATTGCAGTAAAAAAAAATCATACTTTTAGATGCTTTTAAAAGAAGTGAACAAAACACATATATTTAAGTTTGTTTTGCTTTATTCGTTATAAAGGTAAATCGTTACCTTGATTTCAGAGCAAAGTAGGACTTTAAAATTTGATAATCCTACACATAGAATACAAGTAAATATTACATTGTATACAACAGAAGTTATATCCAGGTAAAGGTTTATGTCATGATTTAACAGATCAAACAACATTTGCAATTAATAACAAGAGGCCAAGAGGGTTTGTTTCACTCACCTGGATATTTAGGTATAAAATATTATCATTAAAAGTAATACTGCAAATAAGATATCCCATGGATAGAGCCAATCCTGGTAGCATATATATTTCCAGATCTTAATGCTCAGCAGTGTTATATTTTGTTATAGGGGGGAGGGGATATCAAATGTTTCCATGTTTTGACCCAGGGACTAATTCCTTAAGGGTGGGGGCAGACCCCAAGGCCAAATCTCGAAGCATATTTGCATTGTCTCTTTATACCCAGAAACTGTATAATGGTTATCGGGTGGGAATTTTTAACCTTTCAAAGTTGTGACCCAGGGACTACCAGGGCAGGTCCTCAAGGGTGGGGTAAGACTTTATAACCATGTAATTCCTCTTTTTATGCTCACCAATTGTATGTACCAGATATTGTTATGGGGGGGGGATCTTAATTTTTTCTAAGTTAACTCTATTTTTGCCCTCACCTTCTGCCTCTCATTCGTACAATTTTGAATCTTCCCCACTTAAGAATGCTTCGAACAAAATATGATTGTTATCAATTTCATTAGTTCTAAAGGAGAAGTTGTTTAAAACAATAAGGCCAAATTATCCTTTTGTGACCCTAATCCTTATAGCTCCCTTTAGGTTCAGCCCCACCATTTGTACAATTTTTTAAATCCCCACCACCTAGGGATGCTTCCTAATAAAATATTTTTATATCCAGTTCAGAAAAAGTCTTCGAAAGAAAACATTGACAGACAGTCGACAGACGCTACAGTATGGCATAAGCTCACCTTGGTCCTTTGGACCGGATGAACTAATAAATATATAAAACATAGAATGGTTTTGTCATAGCAATGAAAACAAACTCTGAAAAACAGGTTATTTCAGTGCCATGTTGTGTTTCATAAATTTCAAAAAAATATAAAAGCTCATGTGCTGTGAGCTTGTTAATTTCACTGGTTAAATTTCAGATATTGTTCCAGGAGCAAATGAACAGAGTTTATACATCATATGACGCTAAACAGTCAATAGTCCTAAACTATAAGTTCTTATCGGGAGGAAAACAAAACTATGGTTTTCATATTTCACATACATCAAGTATACCTCACTATCGATCCCAAGATAATGTACCATCTAAGATGACTAGACCCACATTTATAACATATTAGTGAAAGACGATAGTTTACAGCCAATTTTGCAACGTGATTTGTTTTTTCCCGTGACAATTTGTAGTCACGATTATCTTATTTTGAAATCACATTTCACTTTCGAAGCTGAACACTCTACATATTGGTAGTGAAGGAATCAGTCTGATCTGTATTCTGTTTGATAATGATCATCATTATCAAACTTTTCCCTTTTGAAAAATTCTTGGAGTAAAGAGGTAAGACACATAGTAAAACAATTAAAATTAATGGATCACTATCAAATATAGATTAAAATAAATTTGTCTCCCACCCATGCATATGAAAGTAACAGGTGTAACAGATGGAACACCATGTTGGATATGTGTTTCTCTTACCCTGGACAGATTTATCCACACTTTTACCGGTATGAGATTTCCTTGTCTCACCCCTAGGGTGAGACAAGCTTCACATGCTCTTTGCACGTTCTCCACAATAAACCCGACGTCACTGATGTGACCCGGAAGAAGAACTACTTTTATGTGGTCACACACATACACAAGTTCGTCTGCTAATCTTGTCATGTTTACATTTGACATCAAAGAAGATTGGATTGATTTTAAAATGTTTAAAATATGATGCTCGAACCGTCCGACGCATACATTTAATATTAATACGCTTTCCGCGTGTTCCTGTTTACAAACAATATGCTTCATCTAACACTTGGACAGGAACAACAGGGTAAAAGAAAAATAATTATTCACCCCCTCGGGGATGAGATAGGGGGATCTCAACGCTTGGGGGGAAGATTCTTAAGTTGCCAAACACGAGGGTTTGCCGAGTGTTTGGCAACTTAAGAATCTTCCCCCCTTAGGTTGAGATCCCCCTAACTCACCCCAAAGGGGATGAAAGATTTTGTTAATCCCACATGGATGCACTCAGTGACCTGTATGACACAGTATTATGATGTCACAATTAAAAAACGTTGTTTCATTGACTGTAGTGGAAAATCTTGCCATTGGAATGTGACACCACCTCAAGAACATCAGAAAAATTGTACAAGCTTGCCCTGAAGGTCTTGCATGGATCTTTCAAGCTGTGAAGTATACCTATGCTTTACTGTACTTCAGCTCTTTCCAAATATGGCCTTGGTTTGTGTTTACATTGTCTAGAACTTTTGCTATATCAAGTGTTGCATTTACATTGTCTAGAACTTTTGCTATATCAAGTGTTGCATTTACATTGTCTACATGTATGTCCTGTTTTACAAATCAATTGGTTAAGAAATAAGAGAAAAAAGGGTTGATCATTATGTAGGTATGTCGGACAAAGCCTTGGTTCTGACCCCAATTCTACACCCTCAGGTAGAATATCCATATCCCACATACCTACATATGATAACCTCTATTAAAATTTTAAGTTTAATATTAAAATCAATACTGATAACACCACACTATCTACCAGTCAGAGGGCATCTAATACTCAAATAATAAACAATAAAGTGTCCTGTGCATGGTACATTTGATACAAGCTTTAGACTATTGGTCCCAAATATCTAAAATTGTAATACTCTGAGGTAATGTTTGTGAGAGGTGTATAATCTCATGTGACTTAAAGTTCATGCTTAGTGCAAAAACGTTTTCTTGGTTAAACATATAAAACATCAATAAAACAATAATAGTGATTTAATATCTTCTTATTTATGCTATCAATAAAACAAACACATGCACATAAACACATTTCTAAGACTTTGGCTCAGATAACAAAACTGCACAATATCTTAAAATTTTAATAAAATAATTCATTATACAGGACTTGCAACTCGCTTATTTCTCAATATATACAAACACATCAATATGATCTAATGTCAATAAATACAATCCATAAAATAAACAACTTTGTCATTTTTTCTTTGACAGTGTATAATCGCAATAGTAAACATGTGCGATTAAACTCTACAGAGTTTGTTCTTCCTGGAAAAGACCTTTCCTTTAATTTCACATACCAGTAAGCTTCTAATACAACTGATAGAAGAGTATGAAATCCCATGTCTGGAGAAAACACTTTCATGAGGAGATGACACTCTCGAATTGAACTTCCCATTGGTTCCTCCATGAAGTATTAAATAAGAACTGATCACAGTAGAAAGAAGAAACTTCACAGTAACCTAACATGGGGTATATTCATTATAAAACAGTCTCTCCTTTTCCGCAAGTGCTCTGTATTTGGGCCCCTATAAATCAAGGACCACCAAAACTCAAGACACTCCAGCTTAGCTGAGGAGTTGTGAAAAGAAGCTTGCTCTTTGTAAGAAAATTGTGCCCATGTATATAAATAAATAACTATTGCACTCCATGTGTTTGGTGTTAACTTGGTGATAGTGATAACTTCGGCAGGGATTAGTCGCCATCGTACATTTCATGTTCATCATGGTCGTAACCTGTCGACAGAGACAAACAATGTTCATGACAAATAGAAAAGAAATATCAAATAGCGTTCTGAATCACTTTTGCATTATATTAAATATGGATATGGTCATATTACAAGATTAAGGCTACAACACACTAAAAGATTAATGCTACACAGTCAATAGCAAACTTATCAAATCAGGGCAACAGTATACAATAACAGATCAAGGGTTTACATGCATTCACTGCCTAACATTTAAATTCAACTAATATTAACTTCAAAATCTTACTCATTTTAATGAGGATGAAATCCTATTTAACTAAATGTGTCGTATATGACCGAGTACTGACCTGTATCTATTCCACGGCCAAGCAACTGTCCAGCACTTACGAGGTGTTCTTCTTCTTCTTCTTCCTCTTCATAATCTTCTTCTTCTTCTGCAAGCTCTTCTGTTATATGTAAGATGGCAGAAAAGTTGAGGGTACTGATGTCAAATATTAAATCAACTATGATTTCTTGTGAAGTATTTTCAAACTGTTCAGTATGTTATTCAAAAAAGCAGGACTCCCTCTTATTCATTGAATCGTATAACCCTATTTCCAATCGTGAGCTTAATATTACCTGTCAGTTAGTTCCTTTTACAACATGTTAAAGAGTTCAATTTCAATGTCTAACTCATTCACCCCTGAAATTTCATAATGAACTATTCCAACCTTTGAATATGAGGAGTTCAAATGTGTCTTCAGGAGTGAATGAGTTAATATAATATGAGGATGTACATTTCGGGATTTTAATATTTCAAAACTTCTAATATTGTACCATGTCCCTGTGGTTTTAATGCCTGAATTTCAGACCTTCACATGTATTTATGGTATACTTACCCTCCTTAAGATCCGTGTATTGTACTGGTCCACTCTCAATAACCACATCTGAGGTTCCCGCCGTCGTAATTTCTAACTTAACTTTCTTAGCTGAAGGCTCCTGACAAAAACAGAAAGAACAGAATAACAAGAGTACCGCGGGGCGGAACAATATACGCCCGTTGAATGCCATATAGTGTTATATACTTTCTTACGTTGAAACAAGATCTGCATCATTCTTAGAGTGGTTAGCTGACATGCTATAAAAAATGTAGGAGAAAATCTCCGGACAAAAAATCAAATACCGAAATGAACAAAGGGAAATAACTTTTGCAAAAATCGTTGAATCAAAATTCTTTTACGGGAGACACAACTTCATATCATGATTATAATGTATACAAAGTTTCAAAGAGATCGGTCGAAAAATGTAGGAGGAGATTGCTGGACAAACAAAAGTTTAAACCGGACGACCCCATACCATAATACTTAAATTTCGTCAAAAACTGACCATAACATAAAGAAAGCAAGTAAAATGTAAATCCTGTTACTTTTCCTTGTCATTCTGTTAAAATATTTTGTCCAAATACATAATTAAGAGTTAAAAGCAATTTGAAATAAGTTTTAAAAAATCTTGAAAATGATAAAAAGTAAACAGTAACAAACAAAATACATCAGACTTATATCAAAAGTCTGCTGTTGATTTTGACAATTTCTTTAATTGTTTTACATACCTTTTGCATGTAAATGCAATTACAAATGTATTATGTCACACAAATGATGTGATGTTTACCAGTTGAAAAAGACTTATTAAAAGAATTATTAACACAGAATTCACTGAAAATATAACAGCTTTAAATTTATATCACTAATGTGACCTCAGTAAACTTTCATCGTTTACTCTGAAATATTTTATAATTCATAAAATTTGACAGATCAGTAATTACCTTGTCTTCGTTGGAACCTGATGATAAACTAGGTTTCCTTAATCTGAAGAAATAAAATACACAAAACAATTTAAAACAAACAACAAATGAAAGCAGGTAAATGTGAGTAAAAGTTGGACTTTTGGTGAATCAAATTTCATGTACCCGGTAATTCAGAAAGTATTGATATCATAACACTGCATGGTGTTTACTTTTAATCACCCAAATATTTCAAACAAAAAAAATCTTGAAAAATCTTGAAAAATCACATTTCCCTTTTTTGGCATTCTTATTGATAAAAAACTTTAATAATGGACACTAAACACTGACCTATTTAAGGCTGGAGGTATACTGTTGCCACTGTCAAAAGGATTAAACTTGAGGATAGCATTTGTCTTTGGAGTACGGGAGCCTTGTACTTTGAGATCATTTAGGACATCGTAATTAATCTTGGTTGAGATCTTTTTCTCCTGTATGAGTCGGACAATGGCCTCTTCACCTGATGCAGCTGGTGTTGTATGGATTGGTTTTCTCTTTTGGTATTTCTTTTTCTGTGAAAGTAAGTGCCAACATAAAATACACTCATAGAAAGAAGATGCTATCAAGTTAATCCTGTACATGTAAGTACATGTACGCATAAGAGTTGCTATCAAAAACAAACTTCATCTTTGAATTAAAAAAAATCCATAAACTTATATTTTCATATTTACATTATAAATGTGTAACAGGAAAGGAAAAATATGATGACAAACTGGAATTTGAACCACTTATCATACTTTTATATGGAAATTATCAAATGGAAATGACAAAAAAAAAGATTAAATGGCACACACTACATGTAACAGCTATATATATATAATATATTCCTCCGATAATTGCACTCATTCAATCGTTTTTTTTTTTATATTCACACACCTTTTTCTTGTCAGGATTTTGTTCTTCAAGTTCTCTTTCCCTAGCAATTCTCTCTTGTTTTTCTGGAATACATTCAAGGGACAATTAAATGTAAATAAATTTATTTTCATACTACGATACATGTTCATTAATTTAACTCTATACAAGCCCTTGTACAAAGGATCAGGACATTTAAAAGAAGAGGCCCAGAGGGCCTGTATCGCTCACCTGGATATCTAAGCAATCATGGCAAAACATTTTCAAAATGAGATCCAAGGGAATATGCCAGACCCCAAGGCCAATCCTTGAAGCATATCTGTATTCAATTTTTCATACCCAGCAATTTTATGTATAGTTATGGGGTGGGGATCTCAACTGTTTTCAAGCTGTGACTCAGAAACTAGGTCCCTAGGGTTGTGGCCAGACCCCAGGATCAATTCTGATATCATGACTGCATTTGTCTTTTTTTGCCCAGCATTTGTATTTATAGTTTTGGGGTGGGGATATCAACCGTTTCAAAGTTATGACCCAGGGGTTAAGTTTGCAAGGGTGGGGCAGACCCTGGGGTCAATTCTAATATCATGACTGCATTCGTCTCTTTATGCCCAACAATTGTATATATAGTTTTGGGGTAGGGATCTTAACCATTTCGAAGTTATGACCCAGGGGTTATGTCTCCAAGGGTGGGACAGACCCCAAGGCCATCCTGGAAGCATATGTGCATTCATCTCTTTATACTCAGCAATTGTATATATGGTTATAGGGTGGGGATCACAACAGTTTCCAAGCTGTGACTAAGAAACTAGGTACCTAGGGGTTCGGTCAGACCCCAGGGTCTATTCTAATACCATGACTGCATTCGTCTCTTTATGCCCAGCATTTGTATATATAGTTTTGGGGTGGGGATCTCAACAGTTTTAAAGTTATGGCCCAGGGACTATGTCTCCAAGGGTGGGACAGACCCCAAGGCCATCCTGGAAGCATATGTACATTCATCTCTTTATACTCAGCAATTGTATATATGGTTATAGGGTGGGGATCACAACAGTTTCCAAGCTGTGACTAAGAAACTAGGTACCTAGGGGTTCGGTCAGACCCCAGGGTCTATTCTAATACCATGACTGCATTCGTCTCTTTATGCCCAGCATTTGTATATATAGTTTTGGGGTGGGGATCTCAACAGTTTTAAAGTTATGGCCCAGGGACTATGTCTCCAAGGGTGGGACAGACCCCAAGGCCATCCTGGAAGCATATGTACATTCATCTCTTTATACTCAGCAATTGTATATATGGTTATAGGGTGGGGATCACAACAGTTTCCAAGCTGTGACTAAGAAACTAGGTACCTAGGGGTTCGGTCAGACCCCAGGGTCTATTCTAATACCATGACTGCATTCGTCTCTTTATGCCCAGCATTTGTATATATAGTTTTGGGGTGGGGATCTCAACA